AACTAACATATAAACAAATTGTAATTTCCAATCGATGTGGTCTCCACTGTGATTCCAATTCCCTTGCCTTTCCCCTTTTTCCATTGCCTATGCAATTTGTCAAATTAATTTAGTATTGTGAATGCTATTGAGTTTAATTAGCAATTCTATGGATATAGATATTTTATAGAACCTTTACGAGCTATTTGTTTTAAATTTAACTAAATGCAAGTACATTTGCAAATGTGTATCCTATTGACTTTATGCTTTTCTGATAACATAACAAAGGAAGTTACTAAATCATACTATAAGCCACTAAAAACAAATTACACTGCTAAAAAGTCTGCATACAAATAACTGAGTAGACGATGCCTTTAATTTTTGTAATTTACCGGCAGTAAAGTATGCCATAAAGTCATAAACAAAGAATATTGTGAAATAATTTTCCATGGCTTGTAATTCTTCGGAAGCGCACTGATATAATTCAATAGGTTCATTAAAAAGAATGCCATAAAAAAACTATAGCCGCTTTTGTTGTTTACTTTTTTTTTGCAATTAACTTTACACACGCGACTGGCCATTGAAAAGTGTTGACGGAAGGGGAAAGGGGTGGGATTAGGGCGTAGGGACAATCACTTTAACGGAAAAAACTTTAATAATAATTTAATTAACAAATTAATTATATATTCATGGTTATTATTACACAAGTGATTTTAGATTAAGTGGAAATTTTAATTGGGATTTTATTGTCTTATTTTACAAATTCCATATTGAACGCGCAATGAATTTGTATGCGGGCAAGAATAAAATGTTAAATGTATAATGTGGTAAATTTAAATGAATATAATTAGAATACATGGGTTAATGATCCTACTTCAATTTATTTTTGTTAAAATTTTCGCATCATTTGCATAACTTTTTGTCAAAAAATATTTGTCGAAAAACGAATAAAATATTAATTCATACAAAATTATGCTACTTAAACCATTTTTGACTTATATTTTTACACGAAAGTCAAATGACATTTTCCCAACGTCAAAAAAATCCAATAACTCAATTTCGAATTTCCTTTTTTTTGGATTTAATTAAGCGAAATCCATTTGTCCCTGCCAACCCCCGTTTTGCCCAAATCTTCGATAGGTGTGGCCGAGATAGCAGCTCGACTCGAGTGTCAATGATACCGTCATTAAATCAATCATTTTGGTCAGCCAGCCACTTGCGGTCTTAATTTGGTCAACACGCCAGGCGACGAATATTTTACTTTTTTCTCTGCGTAGTTGTTTGTTTTTCGCTTTTTCTCTGTCCTTTTATTTATTAGTGTTTATTTTGCTTTCTTGTTTACCTAATATTCTTTGACTATTTTGCTCCGCACACATTTTTAGCCGAGCTGACAAGGAAAAATGATTATAATTAAATAAACGATACAGGCACAAGGACGAGATTATTTTCCAAAATTTCTTGTTTTAGTAAATAACAATATACGAAAGTTGTCAAACTTTAATAAAAAAATGTTCAAGATTAAAAAAAATCTGTTTCTTGTCATTTTATTCGTACAAATTAGTTCCCCAGAAAGTATGCATTCATAATTAGATAAGAAATGTCAATAAATAATCCTGCCAATTCGAACACAATTTGTAAGATACACTTAGGGTTTTTTCTCTTTAAAAGTAAATAAATCATGTTTCGAACGTAATTGGTAAAAATAAAAAAAAAAATTTAAGAAAATAGGGCATGTAGAGAGAAATAGCTAAACTAGTATTTGAAACTCGTGTATCTTGATTAGTACAAAACGCCCACAGGGCAACTCTGAATAAAAACGAAACAAATTTAGTTTTTTCCTTTTTATTCCTTTTTAGACGGTTTGCGTGTGTTGTTTGCTATAAATTCTGGTAAAAGCAACTGAAACTGCACTGCGTATTAGTCAGATTACAGCAGCAGCAAGATAGAAAAAACATCACCAGATACAAAATGCATGGGGACAAGAGAGCAAGATTTAGGCCGTAAAATAATTAATGAATTTATTGAAATTTATTAGCATAAGCACTGTGAGGACCGTTGTTGGTTGGAATATCTAAAAAAAGTATCTCATGGATGCGAAGTTTTATTTTTTTGTAGCTGTTATTGCCAACATGCAGTCTGGCCGAGATGAAATCGTAGAAATTGAATAGAATTGGTTCAGGGCGGGGGCAAATGGCAAACGATATGCGTATCAATGGATAACAAAAAAGGGAAAAATGTATCGGCAGACAACAACAAAAACCAGAGCATTCACAGACAACTTATACAAATAGCAAACATGGGTAAAGAAAAAAAAGGACAAGAGATACCAAAACACCCAACTAAGAACCAGTTAGATAGTCGAGGAGAAGGGGAACCTACTACAGTCAGTGATGATTATTTTGCGACGGCTATTAACCAGCCAAATAAGATTTATTTTTAAATACAAAAAATTACTACAAGGGCATATACGGAATTAAATTCATTAATTCCGAGCTTTTCAAACCAGGAAAAATATTTTTCTCAAAATTAGTTACTTTAAAACTTTTGGCAAACATTATATATTTTAGCTAATACTTTTTAAATTAACAAACATTTAATAATATTCAATCACAAAATATATATTGATAATATTTTGGCTAAACAAATATTTTGAATTAGCAAGCATTGATGGCTGAAATTTGATAAACTATGTAAATTAAATTAATTAAATAAATCTCATAATTTCTAGTCATTTTTAACATTTTGCAGGCCAACTCAATTTAGATTTCCCGGTTAACCTATCTAGTCTCTTCATCCAATTTCTCCAGTAGTGATAACTTACTGCACGACTTTGGCTTTGCTATTTTTTATTCGATGAAGAGATGTGGATTTTAGCCTCCCACTGGGCTCAGCACCCGCACATTTAACTGAAATGTAACTTTTCCTTCCGAGGCGCTGTTGTTGTTGCGCCTTTCCTTGGGTCTTTCTTTCTATATTTGTGTATCTTAAACGCGTTTCGTTGTATCTACTTAAGGCAGCTTAAATATTTGTGTAACATAATACAAAACATACGGGCTTCTTTGGTTATACTTAGATACATAGCTTAGATACATGGCTAGGAAAATGTGAAATGGTTTTGGGGTGGGGGACGCTAAAAGCTAGAAGTCCACAGTCAGCTAAACCACAGACTAAGTCGAACAACTATTGCACAATGGGAAGCAAAAAAGAATTGTTGAAAAATTAGAGATATTTAATCATCCCAGAACAATTAAATTAAGAAAAATAATTTATCTGAAATATAAATTCTATCTCATACTTTATCAGATACACGAATGTTCTATGCCTTCAAATATTTTTTCATTTCCATAAAAAAGGGCATCAAATTACCATAAGTTGTTCAAGTAACATTTTAAGATACGAATATCTTTAGAATGTTAGATTCTGAGGGAATAAAACTCAAGAAATAAAATCCCATAAAGCTAATCACATGGGATTAGCGTTAAATTCTTGAATATGCAAGCGATTAAAAGATTAAAGCTTTTAAAAGCGATGACGAGGACCATTTCTTCAAAAAAAAATGTATTGCTCAACAAGAGGAAAACCGAGGGGAAAAATGATAGGAGAAGAACAGATTACAACTGTGAAAAGTAGTAATTCAGACATAAAGACGAGTAAAGGAGAACCGAGTTTCCCGGTTGGAAACATTTATTTCTATTCGTGTGTCGATGAGTAGGCGCCTAAGTGATTGAGCGTACAGAAGATAGTCGATAAAGAGACTACAAAAAAAATTAACTGTGTACCAAAAATTGTTAAAAATTTAAACATAATCTAAACCTAGTTCTATGATATTGGATCAAAATGCTTCTATATTATTTTAAAAAAATTCTAAAGGGTACCTTTTTTAGAAATTAAATTATAATTTCAAATGGAAATTTATGGTGGTTACACTCATGTAAACAAACCACATTTTCGTCAATGCTCGTTATCTTTACTTCGTGGTCTCTCTTCTTGTGGTATTTACTGTAGCCGTATCTTAAGTGTTCGGTACGCTTTTGTTTCTTCCCGACTCCAATCATCTGCTCCACTGTGCGGGTATCAGCGTGCTTTGTTTACATTCCAAATGGAAATTGCTCTGTTTTGTATCTCTGTCTGAGCTCCGGTATCTCCTGCTGTGTGTCCTAGGGTATCTGTCTGCAAAATGCATTTCAACCATTTTCGGTTCTTCCTAATGAGTCTCACTCTATAGCCGTTCCATTCGCACAACTGCAGTCGTGTGTGGCGTACGCAAATATCGAAACGACTTTACTTTACCCCTTCCAAGATCTGGTCGTCCTTATCCTAGAACGTGGCGAAGGGACAATACGTGCGCTAAATATAGATTTTGCCTGGCAGGACTGTTGTACACCACTTAACCCAAGAACAAAGCAAAAAGACCAATGTCAACGTCACATTTGAAATGCTCGTGCACTGAGTGTCTAGTATCTAAATTACACCTGCTCATTTTCCAGTAAATAAACAATTCTATTTCTAGGTAATAAATACTCCTAATCCATTTTGAGGCTACAACATTCCATAAGTTGAGGCTAAAGCCTACTTTATGTTAAAATATTTACATAAAGTAGTCTCCTCTTCAAATTAGTTAATTTTTTAACAAGATATATGCCATTTTCTTTAAATGTTTTCCACTATAAATCTTATTAAATCAAAAAATTTACGTCTAAGGCCTAGTACTCACTTCAACCGAAAAGCCTACGAAATGAAAATCTCCATACAATGTTTTGATCACGAAATTTTCCGCCTGTCATTTTTGTATAGAAATTTTCGTTTCGTTGCCTTTTTGATTGAAGTGAGTACTAGGCTTAATATGCAAAGAATCAATTTGGGAATTTGTACTTTGAAATACAAATATTTTGAGTCCACATTTATAATATGGGTGCTTCTTGAAAATGTTCTTAGAAACATTCGTTAAAGAGGTTCAAAATCCCATTAAAATATTGGTTTTTGAAATGGAAAAAACACATATGAACGAATTCAAAACTCACCTTCCATATAGTGTCCAGTAAAATGGAGTTTATGAACTGGATCTTTTCTTAAAGTTGAAACTCTATGGACGTTTGGATCCAAAATGCTTTGAAGACTCAGAAATTTAGTTGTCCCAGCAATTCCTGTTTGTTGGTCTTTTGCTGACGTCGGTTGATTGATACAGTTGTTGCTGTTGTTATTTTCTTGATTGCGATATTATCGATTTGCACACACAGACAGGTGAATTGGAATTTTTTGATTCGCACCGATCGCTTGTCGTACTTAAACAAATTATAGACACTTACACGAGACAACACCGAAGAACACAAATTTTTTATATTTACTTTATACGCAGATTAATGCCAGCGGACGACGATGAATAATAAGGATAACAGCAAGAACAACAACAACGATGCACGACGACGACGACAAATATTGTACATATGTACAGAGGATATAAAGGCTCACGCACACAGAGACAGAAATACGCGTGCGATTAACGGTTAGTCGGATATATAAACGGGTGGCGGGGGGCGGGTCGGCGCAGGAGTCGAATTAACGCGACGGCGATTAGAGTAATCCGTTAACGTTACCGGCTTTTTATGCGGTAAGTAGACTATGGATGCGTTTTCTGAGCATATTTTCCTTGGTTTTTTCTTTCGGTACTATATTTGCCTTTATTCACTTTGTTTTTGGCTTAAATACTGTAGGAATGGGAAAGAGAAACTGGATTAGATTTCCGTTCTAAATCAAAGGTTAGGACCGCAACTAATCTTTGATATAAATTTCAGGTATTGGACAATATTTGAGAGATTAACTATAGTTCTGCAAATCAGTGGCAGTATTTTTAGATATTTATCGACAAAATTTGTAAGTTTGCTAAGTTCTAAATATAAAGTTTATTCATTATGCACCTTCAAAACGTCTAAGTAAACGAGAATCTATATATCTATCTACAGAATTTTTAAATAACATTAATTAGTTTTTTTTTTGTTTTTATCTTTAATATTGCGCTTCAAATAGCTGTTTTCCAATTATTTTCTTATAAAAGTTCCAATGTAAATCTTAATTTTTACTTTTTCTGCTTATTAATTTCTTATTATGACAACAGTAGTTTAGTTCTTTTTTTTCGGTTGGCAACGCGCTGCGGACAAAGGACAACGACTGCAGAGAGATGCGAATGGGGAGCACAAGGCAGAGGCGGAAAACATTATGCGGGGGGTGTGTGTAGTGTGAGCAAGAGGGGAGAGAGCCAGGGCTCTGAGAGCAGCTGCTCTCATTCTCTCTGAGTCGGTGTGTGGCCAATTTGAAACGCCGCGAGAATGAAATGCAGCGAAACGAATGGTGAGAACAAAACGTGGCCAGGAAAATAGAGAAATAAACAAAATATAAAAAAGGATAATCCAGCCAGGGACGGGTGGGACAGGAGGCAGCGAGAGAGCGCGAGAGTACCGTTCCATTGCCAAAACGTACACAAAACAGAATACAAATGCCTCGCTCTCCCTCTAGCGCGCTCGCCCTCTCGCTCGCACCCGCAGGATGGGTGCGCGCCAGGCGAAAAATCAATGAAAAATATGTGGAAAAATTGCCGAAATTGTATATTTTTTGGATTAGCTTAGTTGCGGCTTAAACTTTTTATGTAGCACGGATTTTGCGTTTTTGGTTTTCTTATTTTCCATAATATTCCATATTTGTTGTGATTGCAATTTGCAATTGGCCAATTTTCGGCTTTATTATTGTTACACACTCGCACTCAAACTGGCACATGTTTCTAAATTGATCAATTACCCATTAATTAATTAATGTACACAGTGGACAAATAACTTTTCACAATCGCGCGACAAATACGTTTCGGTGCTGGAATTTGTTTATCAATCCGGAAGATACAGACGTATCTTCTTTGCTGAACCTCCGAAAAATTTACTTTTTAAAAATTTCTTGGAAAACAATATTTTTACAGAAACAAATGTCGGATTTTGAAATATTTTTCCCGGCGTTTTATCCAATATTGTTGTTTTTCAGATATTTTTTGATATTTTTCTACCGGAGAGCTACGCGCTGCAGCAGCGCGGGCGTTAAATTTTCGAATGAGAAGAGAATTCAGTTGGAGAACCGCGGATGGCACTTTCTCTGGCGCTAGTGCATTTTCCTGGCGTTAGTGCGTTTTCTGCTGGATTTATCTCGCTCTCTTCGCTCTCTTTATAATTGCTAAGAGTATTCTCTTAACTGTTAAGTTAATGTATGTTAGCTCTTAACAGTTGAACAACATGCAAATTGGTTTTTTACAAAATATCTTTTGTTTTACAAAACTAATTTCTATTTCGAAATTTCAGAAAAAAAAAACCATTTTCTGCATAAAAATCTCTAACTACTATCTGAAAATATGTCTTTACTTCCTGCCCTATTCGCACTAAAATAAACTAAGATTAAAGCATTTATGGAAAGCAGTCCTAAAAACGAATTTCTCAAAACAGAACTTTAGAATATATTTTAAAAAAAATTATAAATAATAAAAGGTTTAATAAAAGTATCGTAAGTGTTGGTAAAAATAAAATAATAAACCTACGATTTTGGTGTTTCAATTGGAAAAAATGAAAGAGAATATTTTAAGTAGGTAAAAGGCTCTCTTTATCTTTCTCTCATCTTTCTCTCTGTTGACTAATACTCCCTCTCGGTGAAGTCGCCCCCGTTTAGTTCTCAATCTCTTCTCAATCTCTTTTTCCCCGAAAAGTAAACCATTAGTTTAAATGAACTTTTAAACATTGTAATACAAACAATATTTTAAAACTTTTTAAAAACGGTATCAAAAAAATCGTCAAGTTTAAAACAGAAACAGTTAATAGGAAAGTCCATGAAGAGAGGCCCACTTCAATCGTTCCGCTCTCAGTGGGCGCGGGTGAGACTGCGCGTGTCAAGGGCGTTTGTGTACGAATATTTTATGGCAACGAACTCTGGACAGCACGTGCTGCAAAAACATAAACAAATAAATAAACACTAAAATTGATCCAAACAATTTTTATCCGCCAAAAATAAGCATTTTACAGCCTAACCAACAGTTATTTAGGCTTGTAAAGTCTTTGAAAGTAAATTAAAGTCGTAAAGGTCGTTCGAATTGTACCGGTTTCCAATATTGTACCCAAATAAAACCTGACAACTCTTCTATTTGCGCTCTCTTAAAAATCGCGCTCTCTGTTTTTGCCGGCCGTTTATATGTATTGCTTTATTTATAATTTACAATTGTATTAATTCACTCGCACAAGCTCTGATTGTTATTTATTCTATGAGAGTTTTTATTTTAATAATATTTTATTTTGCCCAACATATTGTTTAATTAGTTCAAAGATATACCGCAAATAACCAACACGAATGTTTTGTTGTAGAAACACACACAATGATAACTAGTCGATTGGCGTTGCCAGTGGGGATTTTTACAACCAGCATTGCCAGATAATGCAAGACAGAACTGTAAAATCAAAGACTTTGAATTTTACATACTCTTTTTTTTAATCCCTGTTACTAAGTACTGTATTTTTCCCAGAAGAGCCCGCATCAACGATAACACCATTGCTCATGGTTTAGAATTTTATTCTGGCGATAAAAGTTACGCATTATTATGTATTTAATAAATACATGAAAACTATTTATGTATAAATATACTTTTTCTATAAAAAAAATATGAAAAGTTGATATTCCATTAAAAACGTTAAAAATTATAGTTAAAGCCTCAAGGATAAAAGTCATTAAAGTTAAACATTTAAAAAAAAAAAATGTTTTTACATCTCTCCCCGACGGGGAATTGAACCCCGGTCTCCCGCGTGACAGGCGGGGATACTAACCACTATACTATCGAGGATGTTGGTTGCCGCTCGTCAAATCACCACTTTGGTTCAGGGCATTGGTATTTGTGTATATAATTATATTCCCAAAACTAGAAAACCTCCATGGAGACTTTCAGTTAAGGAAGGTTTTGTTACGGATGATCAGCAGTACTTATTTAACATTGATTTAAAATTCGAAATACATTTTACGCACCACTATTTTAGAAATCTAAAAAAAAATTACAAAAGGTTGGGATGCTTAAATATCTTTCCATAGCCACTATATATTCAAATGAAATCTACAATCCTTCATCTAAATTTAAATTAAAAAAAATAAAAAATGATTTTACATCTCTCCCCGACGGGGAATTGAACCCCGGTCTCCCGCGTGACAGGCGGGGATACTAACCACTATACTATCGAGGATGTTGAATGCCGTCTGCCAAATCACCGTTTTGATTCTGCTCATTGGCTTTCGCGGAACGAACGGAAATGAAACAAACGTTCAGTGCCCGTTGGCTCAAAAAGCGAGTTTGACGCACTTGGGTCAACATCCTCGATAGTATAGTGGTTAGTATCCCCGCCTGTCACGCGGGAGACCGGGGTTCAATTCCCCGTCGGGGAGAGATGTAAAATCATTTTTTATTTTTTTAATTGCCAAATGTCCAAGACTTCAGAATTTTAGAACTATAGAATTTTAGGGCTTTACTTGACTTGAAAGAATTTTGTATTAAACAGTTCTTATTTTTTATCCATTATGAAACTTAATGGATTTTCCCTTTAAGTAAGTTTCATATCATTTGTTGGGGTAAAATACAATTTATTTTGTAATATCAATCATAAACGCAAAATGAAGTACATCCGAATACTGAGTGAGTGGGTTGGACAAGGTCTTATCTTAAAACATAATACAGAAAACGCTTAAGCAGGTACTAAAAGCTAAGACAATTTAAACAGTTAAAAAACGGACAGGATGGTTAACGAATATATAATTGTGGAATGCAACTAGTCCACCTGCTTCCCCTCGTCACGATTGCGTTTGAAGGACACGGAGTGGATGAGCAGGGGCGGCAGATTTCCGCGCAGCAACTGGAGACGCTTGCTCTTCTCCTTCTCGGGCCGTCGCAGTTCGTCCTTGGAGGACCCCGGAGAGGCAGAGGAAGAGGCCATCGATAGCGACATGGAACCCAATGAACTGGCACCGGGCAGAACCTCGGAACTCTGGGTCAGTAGCATGGCAGATCGACGGAAATAGCGCGGCATCGAGTAATCGTCTTGGGTGGCCCGCGCTGCATTGGCCGTCTGGATGGAATACAGACTCTGGGATACCCTGTACTTTTCGATGGTGGGCGTGTCCTCGTAGTTCTTCGGCAGATTGCTAAACGATATCGAGGGCACCTCGGGCGTCATGCTAATCTGGCTGCTTCCGGTCATCGTGCCGCTAATGGAGAATATGTCCGTTTCGCTGGCCGACGACCGTACATTCATGTGCGGAACGCTTTTGGCGGATCGAAGGATCCGCTTGGGCGTGGTGGTCAGCCCACTGGGATTGGCCAAAAGATGAGGATGGCGGTCGATGAGTCGTGGTCGCAGCACCACCTCCTCCATGACCTCCTCCCCTTCCTCGGCCTTGTCATCCTCCTTCTCCTCCTCGGCAATGGCCTCGAATTTCTTGGGGGTAAGTGTCGTCTGGCTTCCCGAAGGAGAGCATTCCGCGGAACTGGGGGCCAAGGTGAATGTGATCCGCTTCTCTGCCGATCCAGTTCTCGCATCCGTGGCATCGCCTGTAAAAAGAAGGAAAATTCGTCTTAAGAAAATGGAAGCACTAATAAGTTCCTCATTATTACTATTTATTCTCTTCAATTAGTTTTCCTGATTTAAATATCACCAAATAAAATATTATAACTCTTAATGAAGTCAACTATTTTGCCAACTAAAGGCAAGGATGTTGTACGCTTTTTCAGGCCTTATTAGTATCAAATTCGCTTGAAGAGTTGGACAAGCAGATGACAAGTAAGTCGCATAAAAGGTTGGCAAACAAGATAAGGGCTGAGTTCATGACAGATAGGAAAGATATGGACAGATAATAAGTTGCCTTCGACTAAGGCTAAGGAAAAATTCCCTACAAAACTACTTACTTAAAAAATAAATACATTATAAACAGCTGTTCAGAAATAATTCCATTTTGTTCTTTACATATCTCTCTATCATCTCATATCCCTTATTTCGCTGTGTATTTCACAATAGATAGCCATTAACCAATCCACTTAGTCAGCAAGATACATTCAAGCATCAAACGATTAAAACCGCACGTTTTCTTTATCAGTAATGAAAAAAGAGTAATCATTCTGAAGTGGTAAATATTTACAAAGAAAAGAGTTTTGTATATATAGATATCCTACACGCATTTGTACAATGCGCTTCGAAAACAAACAGTTGTGAAATGCAAACTTAGTAATCTCGGGTTTAAGTGTACTTTGGGCTTACAATATAAACTTAAAATTAAACAGCTAGATTTAATCTTACTAATTTTTAATTATTAAGACACAAACTTATGATAGTATTACACTTAATTAAACTTAATAATTATTAAAATAAATATATAAATTCCACAATTTTTTTTACATTCCAGGCCTACAAAATAATTTTTTTCAACCAAATTCTTTTCGTTAAAAGATATTTCTGTGTCACACCGGGCTATATTTTTTGATTACTCTTCCATATCTATACAAAAATGGTTCTGGAGATACATTTATACAACAATATTTGCAAAACCCACTGTTTCCTTGCAAGCAGGCGAGCACGTATGATGGGAGGTGATTTTGATATCGTGAAGCCCACCGACAACGTACGTCGGTTTTATTGGATACTGACGAAACGATATGACGGAGGTGGGGAAATACCCAGAAACAAATCGGCTGTAAATGTTGCTTTCAGTTTTGTCTTTTGAAATTAAACTTGAGATAACCCAAACAAACGACCAATTGGCTATTGATTCGCCCCAACACCTGGCTCTTAAATGTACTAATATAATAAACATAATCCCTTGGGGAAGCGTTATTTAAGTAAAGCAAGTTCTGAATTCACAATTTTTCTCCTTTAACTAAGGTTCAACTAAAAAAGATAATAGGAATATACATTCTATAAAAAGACACGTCAAGCCCCTGTGCTCTACAAATTGACGATTTCTTTGCAGTTTTTGTTTTATCAGCTCAGGGAAAACTGAGGAATCGATCGTTAGCATGCGAAAACTGATTACCTGGTCTGGTCTCTTATCTATAAAAAATATACATATACGTGTATTTTGGACAAAATCGCTTAATGGTGGTCCCGAATTATAAGTAAAATATTCATATTGGCAGGGGGTTTATTTGCTGTTAACATTTTTATACAGCCGTGATAAGAAAATCGAGTTTTGACTAATTGGGTTCGGTTCGTTATGGGATGGCCTAACCAATTTGCGAATATTACGATAAATCAGTGGCAGGCCTAATAGCCCATTAAATCTTCTCCACTTGGGAATGGTTTTATCTCTTCCCAGATGCGATAACAAATATATGACGTATACAAAAACTGCAGATGGAGCCGGTATCGTTGGGTGTTGGCTGCGTCAGTGCGAAATAATATTGTTAATTAAATTTAAGCTCAGATCCAAATTTGTTCTTCTTCCGCTCTTCCTCGTCGAAGGTTCGAATGAATGAATATTTTTTAAGCCAAATGGGGTTAATGGAGAGTGAGTCAAGCTTGCGGAAAAATTTGGTTGCAAAATTATCATAATTGTTTAAACAAATATAAAATTTACATTCCATATCGACTTGAAAACTCGATCCGGATTTTGTTCAAATCGTATGGTCTACTTGATTTGATTTTTTTTTTGTCATCAACTTTTTAATTTTCAACATATTTAGAATTAAAAATCTACTTTACAAAAAAATTAAAATTTTTATACAAATTTATTTTGTTGTGAGTCATCAGTATTTTTATTTTTAGATATTTATATAAAAAAAAGTACGTCAGAATTGAAAAAAATTGTATACAAAATTTTGATCCTCATGTTTAACATAGCTTGAAAAATAATATTTTTGTTATACTTTAAATAAGTTTAAAATTTGGTTGATAAATCAAAATTACTTGTAAACAATTTATTATATCTCGTCATCAGTGTATCGCAGCTTTCAATGACTGCTTTTCTCAAATTAATTTCTGTGAAATCTTTCTAAAAGTGGTTAAAGGTGTGTATGGTTCAGTGCTGCCATCACTCAGCTTGAAAAACAGGACAGATAAGCCACAAAAAACAGGGAAAAAAAGGACAAAAAATTTAAGAAAAGGACAAAAAAAAAGGACAAAAGTAAATGTGCCTACATTTTTCTGTTTTTACCAATGGGTTATATATTTACTTAATATAAATGGATTTTAAATAAAATTAAATTATGTAATGATCTACTGCGCCCGACTCACAACCTTCTTTGTTTGATCATTTTACCATGGTAAATTTTTGTGCGTATACGTAATAATCTAAAATTATTATAATAATTAATGCATTTCAAGTAACTATATTCGTAATACAACAAAATTAAATATCTGCGTCAAACCCGAAAAAGAGTCGTTCAAATCTGAATTTTTTTTCTGACAAAAAAGCAGAGAGTAAAAATTAAGAAATTTTAAAAGTGCTTTCCATTTTTTTTGCTACAGAAAAAATCGTACTATAAAAAAAATCCATCGACTGCTTTACGTCTCTTTAATAATTTGTAAAAAGAATTAATTTTTAAGTGCCGAACTGTAAGAATGATGGTTAAAAAGGGATTTTAGCAAATAAAAACAGGTTTATACACTTTCGACTAGCAAAAATAACCCTTAAAACCTTTTTTTTGAAAAAAGGATAGATTTCCGGATAGGGGATGTTTGAAATTTTTTCCGGATAAAGCCGTTAAAAAAAAGGACAGATCTGTCCGGAAAGAGGACAAAATGGCAGCACTGGTATGGTTGACTAACCGATCTCAGTCTCAGGCAATTAGTAGAAGCTGTTGAGTAATGCCAAGTTGACATACAAAGCAATTGTTCAAAGTGCACAAATTACTTTGCTAAAACGCTGACAAAAATGAGTCAATTGCACGACGAATTTATATCTTTTAAACGTATATCAAAACTTTCACAATATCTACAAATGAAGGTACATATATATTAAAATAGGACGAATAAGTACAGTTTTATCAGTAGAGTGAAACCCAGGCGTGTTTTTTTTTTGTAAAAACTTTATGATAATCATACTGTTTACTAGTTCTTACTTAGGACTAAACAATTACAAGGTCCAACAATTAAGACTTAAATAGAGTATGTTTAAGTTAACTTAAGTTAGGCTACTTAAAGGTCAAGATAATACTAAATGCCAGCGGCACTGGCATTGCTGTCTCTTTCGAATATTGTATATCGTTGTGTATGTGCGATATTGGCCGAACTTACAGCTAATTAGTTAATAATATTAAGTCACATTTTGGCGATATTGGTCACTCTCAAATTGCTTATATGTGCGTTGCGAAAGTTCCTCAATCTTTGGCACAAATACTGCTAGTACCCATTGAACCCAAAACCCATCGCAGCTCAGTTCAGATAGAACTTGACCTTGGGCACACCGCTGGAAACGATGCTGCTGCTGCGGGTGCTCTTGCCGCTGCTTTTACCATTACCAGCACCACCCAAAAGTGGGGTGTGCGCACCACTGGGGCCATCATTACCTTCCAGACGCCGCAGCAATCGATCCTGATCACTGAGACGCGGAGTCGTCGGCATCTCGCGATTCGGCGAGTGGATCCCGGCCAGATAGGTCTTTGTGCTAATCCGGTTCAGCTTGGTGGGCTGATGGTCCTGGAAGATCTGCGAATTGGCAAACACCGCCAATATCTCCGGTCCCAGGTTGGGCACATTGATCTGGGTCTCCCGACGATAGTCCTCCTCGTGGATCTTGGCGCTAAAAGGTCCACAAAGGAAGATAGATATATATAATACGTAAATTGATATTGCCAACAGTAAGCCAACACGATATTGCCAATTAATCGCTAATCGCCTGCCGACCAAACAAAGTGCGAAATGCGATCTTTGGCTCGTTGGATCGGTCGAATGGGGGTTTGATCTATCTATTAGTACCTCATTAGGCTCAGGCCCAAGCTCGAGTTGCCCTGCCTCATTTGCGGCTGATCGCAAATCGGCTGGGGCACCGTCAGCGAATTGTTATTATCCGCCGATGTCGGCTGTATACGCCCAATAATCTGGCCATTCTTTCTGGACGCCAGGTAGTCCTCATCGTCCTCGGGGTTATAGTTAGCTAAAATGGGTAGAGGAAAATAATTGTACAAATTGAAAACCAATATTTGCGTTGGCAGAGCACTTAAATATTTGTTTCACTTCTATGTTGTTTTTCTGATCTCCTTAATTAAAGAATTAAGTAAATTTTAATGCCCAAACATTATAGCTAACTAACTAACACATTCCTTATTCATGTTCAGATTCTGTCGGTTTAGCAATCCCAACTAAATCAACAACTCAAAATTACTTTTATGCCAAACTTTATAAGCTCCTCTGTATCGACTACCTGCTGAATATTTAACAAAAATTCCATAAAACTGATTTATTGTGCTTTGCTTTTTCCTTTTTTGTACTCGTACTCGATTCCAAATGCCAAACACGTTAAATCGCGCAAATATCGTCGTCGCATTGTGCGTTTCAAGATCTACTTTGGGCTACTTTTATGTGTGTGCGAAGAGAGTGAGTATTTGAGGTACTCGTTTCAGGTAATCCCAACCGTCAACTGCCCAAATTAAAGCAGAAAACTAAACTCTTGGGCTCGAAAAACTCACCAATCGATTCGTCGTAGCAAAAACGCTCCTCGAAGCAGTTCCAGTAGAAATCTTCCCAACAGCTAGAAATGAAAATGGGAAAAAAGGCAATTCGGAATGTTAGCCAAGTAATTTGTTGGCCCGAACACGACATAACTTGGTAAGCGAGAGGGGAAAATAGCGTTTACTCACTTTTGACAGCAGCGGCACATTTTGTTGTTGGCTTCCTCTTCCTCTTGCTTTCTTGACTTTTTTTTTGCCCTCTCCGCCAAAAAAGCAGAGAATCCGAGTCCGAAAATCGTTTGTGTTGTAACAATGCTTTGATTAATTTATGATTTCTGTTTGGGAAAAATAAATTAAATTCGGATTTGAGCGACGACGACCCGTTTTGTTGTTTTTATTTTTCTGTCGTGGGGAACGTGCGTGTGACTCGTTCCAGAAATTTTGTTCAGTGGCGAGCGGTGAGCGTGTGGAGACAGCTTGGGGTTTTATCGGCAAATGAGGCAAATGAAGTGGCCCACAAATCGTATCTCGCGCTCTGATGACCAGGCTCTCACTCCCAGCCCAAGCGGCTCTCTCCCCCCTCTCTCGAGTCTACACTGGGGAAAATACTTTCGAAATTTCTAGAAGTCGGATTTGAAACCCGACTACCATTTTGAATACTTACATATATCCCAAAAACCTACAAAACTCACTTAGTAAATCTTGAATACTTTTGTGAATATAAAACAATTTTTCTATGAAAAAATTGTGTTTCAGAAATAGTCTAATCTGATTTGAATGTAAATCGTTATTGGCTACCGTGTTCGATTCCACCAAAGACTTATTTATTTTATTTGTTTTTTCTTTCATTTTGTGTTTTAGATATTTTTAAATTCAGATATATTCAAATATTTTCCTTTTTGGAATATTTTTATCAAGCGCACTATTTGAAGCATACGCATTTTCTCTGTCTGTACGTGTGTGTGTGATAAAAGTGAGTTGATTTGAGAGGAGCTACTGTTCACCGGAGAAGGCTCTCTCTCACCCACTTTATTAAATCATCTCTCTGGGAGTATGGGAGAGGGGGTGGTGGGAAGGTTGGGAGAGCCATTGATCGATCGTGCATGATAGATTGCTGCCCAGAGAGTAACGATTTTGCGACAATGGTTTACTATTTCTCGCGCTCTTTCCCTCTCCCGATTAAACATCTCCCACACTCTCTTTCCCTCGCTCTCTTTTGCACCGTGGGGTCAGGAGGAAAGGCGCGTTCCCAACATTATCAGATTATAATTGCAAGAATTTTTAATAATTTATGACCAACCGTTATCTCATTCTACATTTTTCTTCCTTTCACAGTATTTCGCAGACATTTAATGAAATTAATGCGCAGTTTACGTAATTTGTATGTAAATTCTTTCACTGCACCGCCCATACCGACTGTAAAATTGTTTTACGTAATGTTAGACAAAAAACCAACTTAAAAAAAAAAATAAAACAATAATTAACATTTTTAAAAAAAATTTTAAGAAACTCCATTTAAAATAAAAAGAGGTTATTTGGTTCGTCTTTATTTCATGTATTTTTATTATTAAAATAATTTGACCAGGTTACTATGAAGGTGTAAATAAAATGTGTCAAGAATATCCCTAATAGCACAGTGCAACACGGAAAATGTAAACGCAGTTTGGTTTTCAAAACCAAAAAGTACTCATTGAAACGATTTAAACCACATACGGGGTTCTTCTGGCTTAGGTCGCTTTTGGATATCTCTCAATACATTTTGTTCGGTTTATTCTGCTCTTGTCCCACTGTAACCTGTTGCTGTATTGTGACACCTGCTCAAGCCTTGCACATTGCGCCTGTGTGCGTGCGGGCGTGTAAGTGTTGGTGGAGTAATTGAAACTTTTTAAACTTGCACGGTGCACACACAGCGATAACCTCGCTACACATGTACTCGTGTTTGCCTGGCTGAGTTTACTTAACGCTTTGAACGATAAGCGCTTCTGCAAATTGAGGCCACATTCTCTCCACAGGTGGGTGGACGTCAAGGGGGTAGTTTGAGGTGGGTGGTAAGAGGTTTTGGATCCACCCAAGGTTTCCCACTAAACATACTTTTAGGCTGTCAGGAAAAAAAATGCTTAGCAATCCAGTTTTTTTGCAATTTCAAGAGTTTTGCTTGTGTGCTGATGGTATCAAGTTTCATATGTATGTTAGCGATATCAGGCTTTTCTTATCAATGTATTGCTAATTCAGTTTTGTAAAGTCTTATCAACAGATTGCTAGCTCAGTTCTGTAAAATCTTATCAGGAGATTTCTAATTGATTTTTAATGAGTTGATAACGGCAACTTTGCAAAAAAAGGTTAACAAACCTAACATTAGTTCTAATGTTTACAGTTTCTTAGTTTTTTAGATGGGTACATAATTTTGGTGAAAATTTCTTTAAATTAATCGTGTGATTTTTATGATGTTGGATTCGTCATTTTAGCCCAACTTAGACTCCACCAATGATTTTTCCAAGACCTTGGCCTACCAATTTCTTGTTTCTCAGGCCATTTTTTGTTTATCTCCAAGCTTATACTTGGAACATAATCTCTGAGTGGAGATAAGTTAGTTCCCCGAGGTTTTATTTGATTTGAAGGTGTGAAGACCCGAAGCAAGAGTTGCAAAAAGCAAATGTTTACTTGTTGTAAAAGTTAAGTATAATCCCAAAAAAACGAAATTTGATAACTTGTCAAGCTTTTTCAGAGTTCAAAGACCATAGCGAATCATGTGAGAGCCAGCTGCGACAATCGATCAATTGATTGTCTTTTGATAAAGCCGTAGATATATTCATAGCATTCAAAGCTTTCGGCGACAGTTGAATTGAAAAGCGCTCAACACTCATTAAAGTACGTAAGATGACGCTGAAAAGGGGAAGGGGTGGGCCATCGGTAATTGAATGTCAATCAGCTGCACTGAAATGAATAGCAGTCATTTGGCTGCTACCTTTCAGTTGTTACTGTTACTTTAAGCCGTGTAATGCAATTTGTTGATGTTTACACGTTTTGTGCGTGAAACTCATTTCAACTCGTATCGTGTTATATAACCGAAATCGAGGGGAGCTAGACAAATAATGGGAAAACCCTCGTTTTATGAGTATACAAAAATGAGGTACACATTTGTTGTTAAAATTGTAAGATCCAAAAAAACATTACAAAAATAAAATCAGATATTGTATACGTTTTTTATCTCTTGCAATATCTCCAAACCTAAATATTAAATCAAAACAACATTACCTTAAGATACTTAATGCATTGGTTTTGCATAGGGTTTGTCTATTAAAAGTCTCTATAAATAAAACCCAATTTGTAATTAAAAATTATCTTGACATAAATTTCAATTACCTTGAAACGAGTCAAGCAACTTTTGCTGAAGCTAACTGAAAAAATAATAATAATTTGCAGACCAAATATTGCCCAGCTTAGTCAGCTTCTCTGAACCATATAGCTACCCTTTCCCGAGTCATTAATTAGGGTAAACAATTAAAAAGCATTCAGCAAAAGTCATTTTGAGTTGCTGTCTCTATCTTTTTAATGGGCTGTGAAATCATTGCGATTAATATCTCGTCAAATAAACATGCAAAATCATTCAGCACTTTACGGATTTCTCGTTCTTGATTTTTTTTTGCTCCGACCTTTGAACTGGGCCGAATTCGACTAGGGTCGCTGATTTGACAGACAGAATCGCATGCCTCAGGTAAAATTTTGCGGGCGAATAACTTCCGCACAAGGTGCAAAACAAATACAACGGCAAAATCGTGAACAATAACAATCGGATTACAATATTTAATTTTACGAAGCACTCAAGCGATGCATGCAATGCGGTGAATTCTTTCATAAAAAATAAAATAAAAACGAAACTGAAATTTATATGCATAACCTTTTTTCCAGATATTACATTGTATTAAACATAAAATGTAAAAAGCTGTCATGATATCACATTGAGAATAAGGCAAAATATTTATCTATAGGGAACTATAGAGCTTATAAGATTGATTAATGAGTTGTATCTACTGTGCTATGACTATAGTATCTTATGGATTTTACTTATTTAATTTTTTATATGCCTGTCAAGCCCCCTTCACAACATCAGCCCCTCTCACCAACCATATAAAACATTTTACGACAACAAAACGAGTTTTGTGGCAGTATAAAAAATACACATATACAATATAATAAACGACGAAGTGAACATTATCTAGAATCTCTCACTGGAAAATCACCGAAAAGTTCAAAAGCGTTAAGAGTTAGTTTTTTTTGCATTGCAAGGGAGAAACATGTATTTTATCAACTTGATCTATTATATTATTCATTATACGATTTTTAACGTTAGCTTGCTAAGTAGAAATTCAAATTGAGTTCCCACTTCATTTAATTGAGCTTGGCATTGTTTGGAATATTGGCGATGCTAAAATTGTACGTGCATACGTAAGTAAATTAAACAAATAAAGAAAGCTTTACAAAGTTCGGAAAAATAAGATTTAGTAACTAATTTTAAATTATAATATAATTTCCACACCTTCTATATTAATTCCCAAAAACTTTCCCAACGTGACACGTGTAAAAATGAGTTTAAAAAAATTACATTTTATTATCACTTTGTTTATTTATATCTTAATTTGATTGACGATGCTTGAGTTCGATTCCCCCGAGATTGGAAACGAATTTCCCGTCCCCGAAAATCCACAGATGGTTGTTTGTTATTGACTTTAGGATTAAATGTAAAGTGTAAATTACAATAACTCGTCAAATAAAATCATTCACACCCATCGGGCAGCCGGAATTCGTCTCTATAACTGGCCAAAAAGATCGAAAGCAGGTGTCATTAACCGCAGCCAGGCTTGCAGCTTGGATACGAACATATCTCGTATATATAATATAATGCCCCGCTCGGTTCATGGTAAACTAAAAACCCCAGACGACAGTGGCGTGCATTGGCCTCGTTTCAGTTTTTAGGCTTTGACAGGCATCAGACATCAGAGACTGACTTGTATTCCGATCGAGTTGGACCTGCATTGCCGTCGAGTTTCTCTTGGCAACCGAACCCCCCCCTTATCGTTTTCGCAACTGCAGATTCGTTCTCGAATGTTGTTCTTTGGGTTTAAGTTTTTAGAGCACGCGCAGTCGATCTGTTGATCTTATAAATTAGTATCTTGAGCGTAATGACGCTCACAAATATTTTCGATTCGTGTCTGCCGGCTTGACTTTCTGCGTTTAATATCCATTATGTTAGCATTTATACGATTCAAAAGTCAATCGTTCTTGAGTTGAATTAACTTTGATTATAATTATAAAAACATATACCTTTTAAAGCATTTAAAGATGTGACAAAGGGTTAAATTATTAACGGCTGATTTTATTTATATGCAGGGAATGTTTAATTTAAGGAAACCAGAATTATCTGCTAAAACAAGTTTTTGTTGAGGAAAATTAAAGAAATTTAAAGGGTCTAAAAATAAATTAATTAAAAATAAAAAATCGGAAGTGTTTGCGAAATTTTATAGAAAAATATGATTTACAAATTAAATTTTTTACATGAATGGGATTTTAATCAAAACATGTAATCAATAGAACGATTACAATATAAGATAGTACTAAAAAGTTCTCATTGAGATTGACGCCTCACCTTGTTGCTCCACAACGTTTACCGTAATCAATTAACTACTTGATGGGAACCCTCGAGCCCATGGCATTTTTATGTTTCACAGAGATAATAGCTTCGATTAACAGCAAAAGTTCCCTAAATTGTTTACCCCTTAATTGACTAGGGAAAAAACCTTGAAACTAAAAGCGTAAGCGGAAAAAAATCTACACTCATCCGGATATGTTCCCTAGAATTACGGATTCCCATGACATTACATTCCCTTTTGTAAATATGCGTAGAACGTTTTAATTTTTTTATGAATGAATGCAATTTATGTAGGCGATTCTCGTTAATCGTTTTCATTATTTCATTGTGATATTTTCAGTTCCGCGATTATTTTTCACTGCTTGTTTTCTCAGGTGAGTGAGTCACGGCTGTCTCATAAGTAATTTTTACTTGAATCATTTACTCAGAGCACGTCCCTCCTCCAAGATGCTTCCTTAAAATACATTCCGAGTATATTTACGCACTTATCTCGGCCAAATCTGCTTGCCAAGTATTTTGTTTGTCAGTCCATTTGCTTCAATTTTTATCAGTAATCACTTGATTGCCCATGACTATATAGCGCGAGCACTAAAGATACGTTCTAGTAGGTGGATCGCCTGACACGGGGACTTGTCGATAATGCAAGTCCCAGACAGTTGTCCTCACTCACCCGGTCGCAAAGCAAATGCAACGCTCGACTTCGAATAGCTTTTGACGAACTTTGATTTTGGAGCTTATGGCTTTAACATGGTAGGGGTAATTTTTTCGGTGGTTTACGATAACCGATAAGATATGACGAAAGGAAGAGTTTGGGAGTGTTAACGACAAAAAACAAATCGCTGGGATCTATATAATCAATCAAAATTGTGTTGAAAAGCATGATAACCAGAAACTATCGTGTTGTCGCTATTTGGGTGTCGCTGAACTTATTGGGTATACCAGAAATATTTATCTTTTGTAATGTGAGCAGCTAGTATGCAAATTTTTTTGTTGGCTTTTTTATTATTCTAGGGCCGTCTCGTCCACATTTTAAATATAGAGTAGGCTATAATCATTAAAAACGTATAAAGGCGATTAATCAAGTTGATAGTTTTATTTTAACACTGCATAGTTAGTAAGCCCCTTATTAGGATGCGATTTCAAAGAAAACACGACTTAGTTACAATCCATTTTGGGGGAAGACGATTAGCAATACGAATACCAAGAATTGGTACACAGTGAGTCACAACGCATGTACAGCTTCAAAGTTTTATCCGATTCTAAATTGTTTATTTGGCTTCGTATCGAAGGCGATGAAGTGTTAAATTGTCCACATTTGAAAAATCCGGTATTTCATAATTGTTTGTTTATTAGCAGCATTTTATGAACGAGACACATGACAAGGCAAGACAAATCAAAGTGAAATAAATCGCAAATATCGAAATGAAATTTCGCATTGCAATCCAAACACACCGAGTTTTTTATAGACGCCTTATAGGATTGTTCGTATTTCGCAGAATTCGAGAAAATCCCCGGCAGACCAAAAACCGGAACACCAAGAAAAGTAGTAGAATTTCCTTTCAAGGCGCCAAACTGTTTTTTACCCAGGGAAAGAGAGTTTGTGAAAGAGAGATAAGGAGGGCAATAAACTGCAACAAAAATTCTTATGCTAAATAATTGCCATCAGCGAGTTTGTGACTGAGGGGGGGTTTACATGTTCTTGGAAAATCACGAGGCTCTGCCTTCAGGGTCAACAACGTGTTGTATAGCGTATTATTGGGCTTATTTTTGTTTTACTCTTGCCTGTATGGGTGTACTCAAGTGCGTTTTCAATTACAGGTTCTTAAACAACGCTGTTTTGTTGTACATTACTTTTTGTGTTTTGATTTTTTCCACTCTCACAAGACGTTCACTTCACAGACGTTTTTGTTTGGACTTTTCCAGCGGCTCCTTGCGGTTATTATACAATCAACTCCTTTCTGTTTTAACTTTCTTTTCACATTCAGATCTTTTTTATGCTGATCTCGAGTTATGTTCCACAGAACCGGAGCTACGCCACACAATTGAAACACAAAAGCAATTTAGCGTGATCACGCTTTAAACGCGAAATTGTCAAAAAACAACCAAGAAATCGAGTAAAGCTCGCCGATCGAGCGCGCACGTCTGTCGGGTTCAACAATCGTCGGCTGACTGAGCTGGCTGAACTGTATGCGAATTAACCGGGGACGACAGCAACTCCACCAGCCCCCAACAACAAAACAGCAAAACACAAGGCAACCAGAGAGCCCCATCAGATCCGGTGGAGCATGAGCATAAGCTTTCGGAAGTTGTGTCGGACACGAGACGTTCGTTTTGCTGATTAAAGATCTGACCTGGGCTCCGACCTGCGATTGCCGAAAATTTATATTGATTGCCCTTCGGCTCGAGAACGTGACCATGATATTGAAAATGTTTTAAAGTAGTTGACTGAGAATGATTTCAAGCCGTTACTAAACTCTATATAATTTAGAATAGTTTGAAAGACGGAAAATTTATTTGTACACTCATAAAAAAAAATCGAAGAATTTCCTTAAAATCTAGAAAATTCTTTCTTGAATTTTTGCCAAAGGCGACCTCACCTTTGTTTCAAGAAATGGTTTTTTTGAAAGGCACCATTAAAACCAGAAAAAATATTTCTTGTTTTAAGAAATTAAATTTCTTAAAACAAGAAAGGGTTGTTTAGAAAGCCACCATAAAAACAAGAAAAAATATTTCTTAAAACAAGAAAGGCGATTCTTGTTTCAAAGGTGGTTTGTTTCTTGTTTCAAGAAATTAAATTTCTTAAAACAAGAAAGGGTTTTTTAGAAAGGCACCTTTTGAACAAGAAAAATTCTTTCTTGTTTAAATTTCCTTTCAAGAAATTTTATTTCTTGATTTAAGAAATAATATTTCTTGAAGGGAAGTTTTATATTAACACTGAAACCCTAAAAATAAAATGTAACTTGGTTTTTTCTTTTGCATATTTTATTTATTTAAATTTAAAACATTTAACACTGAACATTTAAACAATTTTAAATAACACATTTTTGACTTAAGAAAACATTATTATAACCAAATATGTAGTTGCAGGCATAAAAAATTATTTTCTTCGGCTTTCCTCATCTGGAAAAAAAGAGTTATTGGGATATCAATGATTTGTTTTTAGATAAGAATAGATAGATGTTTTTAAATAATAGATAATAATGTAATGTTAATAATAGCCAAAATACAAACACGTTGGTCAGACGACCGAGAGAGGAGCAAGACAGGTAGAAAATGAAGAAGGAAGGGTTGAAAATCTAATTTCAGAAAGAGCCACATACATACATATATATTTACATACAGTCCTTTGCGCGAAGGGAGACCGAATGTAAGCAGGTCAGATCATGACAATTTTAAGAAGGAGTAGAGAGAAACGTCGCGACGCGTAGGTCAAGCGAGCGAGAGAGAGGAGCAGAATATGAAAGGGTTGAAAATCGGGTTTCAGATCGGGTGAGCCGCGTACATGCATAGATATTTACATGCATACATAAGTATGTCAAACAAATACAACATATTTTTCTTACCTTAGAAGGTTTTAAAACAAAATTACAGCTTCGACAAACAAATTATTTGGCTGTTGCAACTGCAGGTATTTTCACTCTGAAAAATAAATAAAATGCGAGTAATAAGATAAAGTTATTCTAGAACTGTACACCCACAAATTTATGTACAAATGTATGTATGTACGTAGCTCTTAGCTAAAAAACAATTCACCTAAATTGGTACACGCTTGTTAAAGAGATTTGAAATGTATCCTTTAATTACATACATACAATTGTACGCCCGCTATACAAAAAATTATATACATATTTACATACCTTTGAATATTCGGAAAAAGGCTTCACCTCTTATCCGCTTGAAAATCACGTCCATCACTCACGAATTTTTTTCACAACTGACGCTCGGGGGATCAGAGAAGTCGGTAGCCGGATAGTAGTCGGGCCGAGTAGGCCCTTCGTCCCACTTCGTTTTTCTTGTCGTTAACATTCGGCAGCCGAAGGAAGTCAATGGCTACTTTCCTATATTCTAGGGTCATTTCATTCATATATTCAAAGGTGATTTTGTCCTAAAATACGTACAAAAATGTTTTGGCTGCGACGGCAAAACAGACATATGAGATTTTCATTTTTCTATTTTTAAGAAAAATTCTTTCTTGAATTGTTTCCATCAAGAAAGGTTTTCTGTATTCAAAGGCCAATTTTCTAATAACAAGAAATTTTTTTTCTATTTTCAAAGGTAGGCCGATTCAATGGCGAGATTTCCAAAATTTAGAAATTAATTTTTATGAGTGTAGTTCACAATAACCTGAAATATGTTATTTGTCACTGGGTTTCAAAGATTTTTAATACTTACCGCTAAAACCGATGGTAATGAAAAATTCTACACCTCTAACATAATCACATATTGCTCAGTTACACAGCAATTTCCACAAACCATTTCTAGTTTTTCATGCTATTTGGGTGCTCCTGATTAAAAGTACCATACAAATTTATATTCCATCCCTTAAAGGTTCCGCGGTATATCTAAGAATTCAAAAAACCCATGTTTGCGGACTTTTGAAATTATGTGGCCTATGTTTTTGGACTTACCCTAATCAATACATCACGGCGTTCCTAAAAAATAGTCCCCAATCTCAACCATTTCCCGTGCCTTTAAAATTCGACGTCAAAGCTGAAAATCTCTCTCTGGAAAACCAGTTCTAAAAATTTAATCTTAAATGAAACTACTTTTTTATTCATGGAATCTATTACTGTACTGTCGACTGTATGCTTTAATTTGGTTTTAAAGCGTTTTCATGAGGATATTTTATTGGATTTATTATACCAATAAAACCGTTTTTTTTTTATTTTATTATCTACTCCAAAATGTTGTCAAATTTTTAAAAGTCAAGGCATCCTAGATAATAAACTAATAGATAAGTTCAATACCTTAAAATATTAGGTTTAAAATAAAGTACATGTTTGAAACATTTTTAGAAATATTTTTTTGTCACAAATAAGGATTTTTTTATAGTTTTACGCAGTTTTAGGTGGATTTGTAATTTGAATTCCTGAGGATACAGCACTTCATAACTATCGCCCACTTAGGCCATCTCCAAGTCACAATGCTTTATCGATAGCTCAGTCTCCGTTTCGGCCACCAACAGCACCTATCGCGCAATCGATGTCAAGACCTATCGACCTATTTTCAGCAGCCTAAAGAAAAAAGGCAATATTTTGCGAAAAACACTCGGAAACGACCGAAAAACACCCGCTCCACTGGCTCAAGGACCCCTATTCCATGCAACGCTAAGCGGGGGCGAACCAGACAATCGCAGTGTAAGGCAAATGTGCGCAAAATGAAAGTAACAATCAAGTCATGGACGGGAGTTGCAACTTGGCGTTGGATAGCGAATGACGAGAACTGCGGTATCTGTCGCATGTCCTTCGAGAGCACCTGCCCGGAGTGCGCGCTGCCCGGTGACGACTGCCCGCTGGTGTGGGGTGTCTGCTCCCATTGCTTCCACATGCACTGCATCGTCAAGTGGCTGAACCTGCAACCGTTGAACAAACAGTGCCCCATGTGCCGCCAGAGCTGGAAGTTCAACGTGCACTAAGCCCGCGTTCTAGTTCTACTCCTAGTTCTAGTTCTACTTCAATCCTCCAGAAGATCACCAGCAAGAAGAAACCGCAGAGAGAGAGACAGTAAGCTTTATCGAATGAGAATGGAGAACAGCAGCAGCGATGCCCAGCCGCATTTGACGGGTCTGCCGCCACTGCCAAAAAGTCTGAGTGCCGCCACGGCGGCTCCCGTGGCCCTTGGGCCGCTTCCCCGCACAGCCTCGCCGGCGTCCAGTGTCTCCGCCCTCACGGCAGCCGCCGGAGAACTCTACCTGGGCCCCTCCACCTCCTCGTCGGCGGCGGCGGCCTCCAGGAATCGCAGCTACAACGGACACGGGCATGGCCAGCGGCACGGGAGCCTCTCCTCCACACAGGAGTCGCTCAGCGACCGGGAGTCCGTACACAGTCGCGCCTCAAGCACACACAGCGCTGGGCCGGGTCACACGCCCACCAACAGCTCGAGCAGCACGGGAGCCACCTCGTCCACCATCGACAACCAGCTGGCCATCCTGCGCAGGGAGATGTACGGCTTGAGGCAGTTGGATCTCTCGCTGCTCTCACAGCTGTGGGCCCTAAACGAGTCGATACAGGGATTTCGGGTGTTCCTGCAGGAGCAGGATGCGCTGTCGCCGCCGTCGAGGTCTCGCACGCCATCGGATGCGAACTCCTTGAGCTCCGACGAAGAGGACGATGGCTCCTATGCGCCAGTGTCCTTGCCCAAGATGACAGAGGCTCCCGGAGGTGCCAGTGCGAGTGTGGTCAGCTCCAGGGCCATGGCCTCGCCGGCAGCCAGCGGCGGACTGCCCACCAAACTGGCCACGGGGTCCACCACCTCGCACGCCTCGACGAGCTCCACATCGGGGGCCTCCGGCTCCTCGTCGGCTGCCTCCTCGATGGGCAAGCACCAGCAAATGCAGCAGCAGCAGCAACAACAGCAGCAGGCGGCCAACCACTACCATCAGAGGCCGGCGCCACCACCCGCACCACCAGCCCAGCACAAGGCGCATCCGCAACTGCCCAGGATCCTGCAGCAGCGCATGAGACAGGCACCGCCGCCGCCGCCACCCACGAGACAAAAGGGGGGCGGCGGTGGTGGCGGCGGAGCGAGCACCAGCAGTAGCAACCACAGCATCAGCAGTGTCACCCAGCCGCATCCACATTCACACCAACATGCCCACCACTCGCGGCCCGTATGACAAAACCCGTTCTTGGACTAAGCCAAGTTCAAGAACAGAAGCCAACTCAAATAGCAGCCGCTGCCAACACTTCGGAAAGGGTCAATTAAACGACATTTCTCCAAGAGTCAATTCAAATTCAAAAGTGCAGAAAGTTCACACACACACTCATTCTATCAACTCTCATCTCATAAAGCTTGCCATGGTCCCTCGTTCTTGATATTGAAACCCAAAACATATGAACGGTTTATAAATGTTTTTCGCGAAACGATGAAAATGTCTTTGAATGTAAGCGTACCACTTTTCACGTTTAATATTAAATAATAAACACAAAAAATTTGTATTCAATAATAATCGCTAAGTAGTAAAGGATAAGATCCTTATATGCATCTATGTATTACTCAAATTGTATAAACATAAATCTAAAATGCTTAAAATTCCGCATCGAATTAATAGATCTAGTTCCATTATTTGCGTTGACTCTGAAATGTTTTGTTAGAATGCATACTATCCAACAAAAACTAAATCGAATTGTTCCAACTCACGTAGCACTAACCAAAACTAAACTCTTGGCCTATACATATGAATATCTGAATTGATTTTATAGCCCTGTTAAGTCTTAGTTTCGTAATCGCGAATCGAAAGCAAAATTATATTATACGAACATGTATCTGCATCTCAAAGCGAAACCTAGCTGATCTTACTGTTAGTCCAATAATCCTATCATTAAAACTACAAAACCTAGGCATATATATGTAAAGCTCAAGTATTGGAGCAAATCCCCCGAGCAGTTGTACATTGCGTTTCAAAAACTGGAAGTCAGTTGCATTTGAATACGGAGTTCTGTACTGCCGAAAAATTTTTTAGGTATATCTATATACTTTTCGTAACGATTTTAATGTGGGACTATCCTAAGCTTGAAACGCATTGTATATAATATTTATATACTAATTACATATACCATTTTTACCACATAACAGGTTTAAACGCGAAATATGATAAACCGCCGTAAATACCGTTGAGTATTTCCCATATCACAAGCATAACACGGGAGATTGCAAAATGAAACAAGATTTACATATATTACCTAATCAAAAATTAAACAATTTCCAATATTTATTGTTAGTTCTTAGAATGTTTTATTTCTCAAAACAAATTCCTTATAATCTAAAATTAAAACACCTTATGAAGTTGAACGATTGGAATTCTAATCCACGCGATCATAATTCACTGTTCTTTATTCGATTTTAAACACACAATTCTAAAAGAGACTACCAATCAAAATCTGTGGAAATTTGATATCAACAAGATCACTGAAACATCGATATACTAGCAATATAAATATACTGCAGCACAAGTCGCAAAATAATAGCGTTGAATTTAGCTTTGAATATCTTGGCTCAGATATGTCAGACATATCGGGAAAACCATTAAGGGCTGGTTTTGAACGGCGAATAAAAATTCGAATATCATGGGTCAAAAGATACAATAATCTTTTTCAAGTCAATTTAATTTTCGATGTTTAAGATGATGATGAGATTTCCATGTCGCCCCGAATGTATTGCATTGTAATATATTTTTTTAAATGTGATTTTTTAATTTATTTTTTATTACAGTTTAATGTTTAGAAGCTAGCTCCCTAATATGTATTAAGCCTGACGTGAATGATCATATTCTAACCAAGTTATTCAAGGTATTATCAAGCTATACTCATCAATTAGATTTGAGATGAACTTTTGAAAGCTTTTGCTGTGTACAAAAAGGCAAGCAAGATATCGAAAATTTACACTGACCGAAACATATACAAATTTGTGGTTGATAAAGAAACGCAATTTACGAAAGAATATAATTTATATATTTTTTGTTTTAATGAATATTGGGGATGATATCGTTAAAAAAAGTGTATTATGTAATGGCAATTTATTAATGAAACGAAAGAAACGATACGAATGAATCGATACAATAAATATCAATTTAAATATCATTGCTGAAATGTGGAATTAATTACAGAGTTCTTAAAATTGTTTATTTTTTTTTTGTTTCTAATGACAGATTAAACATATTTAATTGCGGGTCTCAACAACCCCAAGTCAAGTTCAGGATGGCTTAGTCTAGGTGCTGAATGTTCCACAGCAATCCGAAGGGATCTCTGCAAAAATTAAGGTATAAATTAACAAACCATTTTATTTCTTTAAATTCAGCAGAATATTTTATCGAATACTAAAAACTACTTACTGTTCGTAGGTCCCCAGCCAAGTGGGACGCCCAACCGACTGTTCTCCTGCTTGAGCCACTGGTAGAGCGGATCGAAGTACTCTAAAAGTGCAGCTGGATCCATTTCCGTCTCGCCCGTGAACTCCTGGAGAACCTCCTTCCAGTGGCGGGAGTTGCCCTTTGAGAGGAACCGGCTAAGAGTTCGTCCAGCCGCCTTGCTGCCGAAGATATCACAGTTGTCCAACGTAAGGCGACTGTCATTGGGGGCATATTGTCCGGCCTGACGGCACAGGGCCTTGTGGAACTGAAACTGGAAGATGTGGGCGGCAAAGTAGCGAAGGTACTCCACATCCGCATCAATGTGGTACTTGGCCGGCGGGTCAAAGTCTTTTTCGGTGCGGAAAACTGGTGGCTCGACGCCGCCAAACTCGGATCGCATCTGCCAGAAGCCGCAGTTCCACTGAGACTCGTCCAGTTCATTGCGAAAAACTGCATAGCGATACTTATCCACGGCATAGCCGAAGGGCAGGAAGACAATCTTGGAGAGAGCCTGCTTGAACAACTGGTTGATTCGACTCTTCTCGTCCAGTCTACCACTGTCTATCAGACCAATGGCTTTCAAGTGCTTTGGGGACATCACCGACAGGGCAATCAAGTCGCCCACAGCTTCGTGGAAGCCAGGATTAGGGGCTCCCCGATAGACGGCCGGCTGCTGTTCGTACTGCAGATAGTACTGGATGTGCCCTAGCTCATGGTGCACCACGTAGAAGTAGTGGGAGTCGACTTCGGTGCACATCTTAATTCTCACATCGCTGTCCTGGTAAAAGTCCCAGGCGGAGGCATGGCAAACCACCTGACGATCGTCGGGACGGGTCAGCACACTCAGGTTCCAGAAACTGGGAGGCAGGGCGCGCATTCCGAGCGACTGGAAGAACTGATCGCCCAGCTCAAAGAGCTTCTGCACCGTGTATCCCTGGCGCTCCATCTCGGCCTTCACGTCCACGAACGGCTTCTCCGGGTAGGGAGTGAAGAGATCGAGCAGCTCGTTCCACGACTGACCCCACATGTTGCCCAGCAGGCTGATCGGGATGTTCCCCTCCGCCGGCATCACATCCGGACCGTAGTGCTGGCGCAGGCGGTAGCGCACGTAGCCGTGGAGCTGCCTGTAGAAGGGCAGCAGCTGCTTGAATGTGGCATCCAGTTGTCGCTCAAAGTCCGCGTCCTCGTAGAACTGCACCCAATAGTCGGCATAGGATCGGTGGCCTATATATTGAAAGGAAAATGACATTAAAATAGGTTTCATGTTAATCAAAGTCTGGAATAATGATAGCCCCTAATGACCTAATATTAAATAATAGTATTGTATACAAACTGTTATAGCACTGCAGTTGATAGTGAGCTATTTTTAGATTTTTAGGGAATAGGAACCAAAACACTTGCCAAAAATAGATTAAAAGTATGTATAAATAAACAGTACTATTTCCTTTCCTGTGCCACAGATAAATGCCAAATGGATAACCTAATTAGGATGCACCTAATGCAGGATGATCACCGTGTCGGCCAGACAATTTCCCCGTTTCAGGTCAGACAGCGGGTTATCGACTCACCATTCAATTGGGAGGCCTTTCGCGTCAGACGGATGTACTCGGCGAAGTGATCCCGCATGGGTGTTCCCGCCTTGTCGTACCACTCCCGCCAGTACCAGGACAGCTCCTCAGGATCTCGGCTGTGGGACAGGCGCTCCTGGATGTGCGGCTCCAGGGTGAGGGAGCAATCAGTGCGATTCGTATAGGAGCACACTGTGGCGGTGGCATAGTTCGTCTGCATCGAACTAACGGCATTCTGGAGGGCCAAGTAGTCGTCGGCATTGAGGGCGGAGGCTCCCAGCTTGGAGAGGTGCTCGGCCTGACGGCGTACATCTGCATCCTCGGACTGCAGGTAGTCGGAGGCCTTTATTTTCTGGGCCAGGCGTTTGTTGAGCTCCGCATTCCGGGCGTAAACCTCGATCATGGCCTGACGATTCGCCTCAGAGACATTCGTATTGTAGTTGTAGCCGGACAGGAATTCCTCGTGAAAACGCCTTCGCAATTGTTCGTTTTCCAACTCGAAAAACCTGCGGCCCTCCAGAACCGAAGCCGAACAACTATTTCCCATGGACAGTCCATGGGGTAGCTGGTAAAACATATACATATGTACGTTTAAATATAGAAATAAAGAGGAATCCATTGGGATTGGGATACTCACCCACAGCGTTAGAACTAGCCATATGACTGTTATATTAAATGTCCCCATTGCGTTGGCGGTTCTCCCGGGTCAAGCCGCGCTTATCAGCTGCCTGCTACTTTGCACTTTGAATTTCCAGAAACTCAAATCCCAAACTAAGACGCAAGATTCCAGATTGCTTTGTCTTCCCGCCGCTGTTCTGAAGCAACTGAATTCTCGATGCGGCGGAGAACTGTTTTTATAAGCGATAGAGCTGTTTGCAGTGCTGCCCACTAAAAGGAGCCAAAAAAAAGCTATAACTATGAATGTTTTGAAAATATTTTTATTTTCTGCATTGGAGTATTGATAAATTAATAAAATGCATACAAAGTATTCATAATATTAATTATTTTCTTGTCGTCATAATAAAATAAAAAATTAATTAGAATTTTTAAATCAATAAAATATTGAATTTTTCTTTACGTTAATTAAATGTTCTTAAAGGATTGCACATCCTTCAATGTTTTATATCCTATGTATACCTTAATCTGTTGACTGGCTGAACTGATAAATTTAGCTGAAAATTTCTGCAATTAAGGAAACGACCTTAAAGCGTTCCTATTGAATTTTTAAACAGCCTTTAAATCAGGGACCGTAAATAACAGTTCTTTGTGATTTTTATTTTAAAAAGACTACTGTGATATTTTGTTTTAAACGTCAAAAATAACGTTATTTTTACTCTTGTCCACAAAGTATATGCATTCCAACAAATCTGGAAAGCAAATTAACTGTTATTTGTTCATGTCTATAAAGTGCATAAAAACCAGTTAAATTGTTAATTAAAACTTGTACAAATCTCAGTAGGCCTTTTAAAATAAAAATAAAAATCACAAATAACTCTTATTTACGGTCCCTGCTTTAAATATGTTGTCAAATTGTACGAAACCTATAACATTAAAAATTGTATTTGTATTGCTAGTTAATGCCTTAAATTACTGGAGATACCAAAAAACAGCTGATTAACAACTGACCGAAATTAAACAATTCAACCGTTTAGGGAATACCATAATGGTTTGTGTTTTGTAGGTGATCCAAGAAGATGAATTTTTTAACATATTTGTCATTCATTTTGGTTTTTAAAGTTAAGTTCTTAATAGATATTTTCTTTTGTTTAATAGCTAGCTTTAGCTTGGAAATGTCTAACTTAGCAGCTCTGCCAATCTATGCACTCTCGATGTCTATATAAAATTCAGAATTTACAATCACCAGAGTGTGCGTGTTCCGAAATTTTACACCTGCCCGCCAATCTACCTGGTTTGTTGTTGTCTCCGCATTATCCATGGCTTGAACGCCACTCAGCTGTTGAGTGCACTGCAAATATTTCGTAGTTGGCCGAACTGAAATGTTGCATGTTTTTTATCTAATACTTAAATTATAACTAGTGTAATTGAGATAAGGAGTTGAATCTTGCTAATGTATCACCCACTGAATTTCCTTAAGTTTATACTCCTTAGCTGAAAAATCAAGAAAAATGATTTTTTTAATGAATAAAATACAGATACATATTTCTTATCTTTTCTGTTTTTGAATAAAAAACAAGAGAGAACGCTATAGTCGGGTTGGTGTGCTAACTATCTTAATACCCGTCACTCAGCTAAAGGGAGTGCGAGGGAGATGGATATATAACATTTTTTGATTGCGCATAACTTTTTAATGAACGGTCCGATTTGAAAAATGTCTTATACATTTCGATAGGTATTAATACACACAACAAAATGGCATTTATACTTCTCGGAAATCTTTAAAGGTGTGGGCGCCAGACACATTTTAAAATCGTTAGGGGGCGATTGTGGGTGTTAGAGGGGACGTGGCGCTTGGCTGAAATAAACTTGCGCTGCGTAGAAAGCCCAAGAATATGTGTGGAAAATCTCAACCTTCTAGCTTTTGTAGTTTCCGAGATTTCAGCGTTCATACGGACGGACAGACGGACATGGCTATATCGACTCGGCTAGTGACCCTGATCACTTGTTTGTACTGCTTGTAGTGCATCAACGTCCATCATATAATATATATACTTTATGGGGTCGGAAACTCTTCCTTCTCCCTGTTACATACTTTTGCACGAATACAATATACCCTTTTACTCTACAAGTAACGGGTAAAAAAATTTGTTCTATAATTTGATTCTTTTTATACCCGTTACTCGTAGAGTAAAAGGGTATATTAGATTCGTGCAAAAGTATGTAACAGGTAGAAGGAGGCGTTTCCGACCCTATAAAGTATATATATTCTTGATCAGGGTCACTATCCGAGTCGATCTAGCCATGTCCGTCTGTCCGTCTGTATGAACGCTGAGATCTGGGAAACTACAAAAGCTAGAAGGTTGAGATTTTCCACACATATTCTTGGGCCTCCTACGCAGCGCAAGTTTATTTCAGCCGAGCGCCACGCCCCCTCTAATCGCCCACTAACGATTTTAAAATGGGTCCTGCACCCACATCTTTAAAGATTTCCGAGAAGTATAAATGCAATTTTGTTGTGTATATTTATATCTATCGAAATGTAGAAGACATTTTTCAAATCGGACCATCCATTAAAAAGTTATACGCAATCAAAATATATACATATATCTATCTCCCTCGCACTCCCTTTAGCTGAGCTACGATTATAGTCGAGTACAGCGTTTGCACTTCCTTTAGCTGAGTGACGGGTATTAAATAGTCGGGACACCAACCCGACTATAGCGTTCTCTCTTGTTTTTAATGTAACCCTTTTAATTTTCAAATTATAAACTTTAGCATGTATTATATACTTGGAAAGTTGATTGTCGAGGGTTCTAGACAAACATCAATTGATTTAAAACATGAATTAAGAACAAAATTGTACGTGATCCAAATTAATTTGGCAAACACAAGACACAGTACCAGTTGAAAAGCGCGATGCATTAAGTAAAATCTAAAAGTGGGAGAGCATACATATTTTAATAGTTGCTACCAAATCGAAGATCTACGCACCTGAATAGTCTCCGCTTGGCCTGTTCCAAGGTATCCCAGGACTCTTTGAAGAGGAACACGCGCATGCCGGTCAGAATTCTTTTGAAGTACTCCTCCCAGTTCAGGTTGGCCATATCGAAGGGAAATATTGCCTTATCTTCCGGTGACATAGACTTCCACATCTGGTTGGTATTTTTCATATCCATAATGTATGTTTTTCCACTAAAGGGGTACAGCAGCACCAGTGCTTCGTGGATCTTGTGATAACTCTTTATCAGGATGGACTTTTTGCCTTGAATCCGTAGGAGAAGATCAAACAGATAACCAGGCAGCAGATGATAGAATATACACCCCAACTTAAATAGCCAAGGACAGGTGGTGAAGTGGGCGAATGGAAACCAAATTGTTTTGGTGACCGGAATCTTATGGTTACGTGCGATTCCCAACTTCACTCCTTCTCCAAAAGTAATCGGATTCGATTTGGCCGTGGCGAGGGTGTAGATGGATGGCGGATTCCTTACCGCCGGTGACGAGTTCGGTTGAAGAGTTCTTTTGGCCACATGCCATCCGGAAGCCAGGGCCACGTTTGCGCAATAGTCGCCAGGAACTAATAACGCCTCCGCCTTGGGATTGACATACAGTAGGCGGAGGATCCCGTGAGCATTGCCGTAAATTAAGGCTACGATTCCGTGAAGATTGTCAATCCATCCCGACATCGGCTCCTTAAAGTTGGCTAAAACTGAGAGGGACCAAACATACAAACATATTTTTGCAGGAAGCAAGAATACACATAAAATCACTCACTAATGGCAGGACGAAAAATGCAGATAGGCAGATCCTGAGCCTCCATCTGGACTACCTGCTCGGCCAGAGCTTTCGTATATGTGTAGGTATTCGGAAATTGGCCCATCAAACCGGGAGCAATATTGTTCAACAGCTCTGGGCTCAAAGTCTCGTTGAATTCAAGCACCTTGTTCGCCGGAAGCGTCAGCAGTTCCGGATAGAAACGCTCCTCTATGTGATCCTTGGGGCAGTTGGAGAAGGCCGTGGAGATATGCACGAAGGCCTCGAGGCACTGCATCTCCTTGGCCAGCTGGATCATTAGGCGCGTGGCACGTGTATTGATTTTTAGAGCGTTGTGGAGGGGCTCCACAAAGCGGATGGAGGCGGCACTGTGGATGATCACATGCACCTCGGTAGTCAGGACTCTGCGATCTCCTTCGCTGAGCCCCAGACCCGGTTCACTGCAGTCCCCAGAAATGGGCGTCACCAAGTGTAGAGCCTTTGGTTTGACTCTCAGTAGGGCCTCAAAAACCTAGAAAGAACAATTGGTTAGCCTAATTGCACTACACACTTCCGAAACTAGGTGATTCGTTTATAAAACATACATATATGGAATTTAGTTTGATAATAACAGTTAATTGTTTATTTAATTTCAGAAAACTTTTCATCATAAAAATCATGTATACCCTAAAATATTTTTAGAGAGGATTATATTCTAGAAATCCATCGATTAGATATTTATAGATCAATTACCTAGCACTTTGAGGTATTACAAAGTTTAAGACTCACCGGTTCTTTTTTCCATGCCTCGAAACGTCCTTCCACATTTTCCTTCCTCTTGGTCCTTACCAAAAAATATACACGCTTTACATCTGTGGAACGCAGCAGTTTCTCAATAATCACTGCAAATCAAATATAAAAGGATTTATACTATGAATTTAATCCCGGTACATCCTTGATCTGGTCAGATCGTATACCTTTTCCCAGGAACCCAGTACCTCCAGTGACAAACACCGTTTTGTTTTGATAAAATTTTAGAATGTCTGTCTGCATTTTGTAATGGAATGATATCGATTCCGCCGATTCGCCTTCAAAAATGAGCAATGTTTTTCCAATGTATGCTACTTATAAACGATTGCTAATGCCCTTTTGGTGTTCATTATAAGTCCCTAATTATACAAATATTCCACCTAGCTGTGAAAGCTTATGAAATGTACTAATTTTGTAATTGATTAAGCAAACGTACGTAATAGTACATAGATGTAAATAAAAGTACCACACAGATATACAATGTAATTTAGAGTTTCCGCCTTAAAACCAGGAAGAAATTAAATTCTATTCCCATTCCCATGGTATCGGATTAAAAACTGCATTATTCATTTTATTACACTAGGCTTGGTATTTGTAATAACAAAACAGACAGAAACCAACGCAATCGCAAAAGAAACAATGAATAAATCTACATAAACTCATACGCATAACAATCATTGGATTAATATATCGGAAAACTGGGGTCTACATTGTTCGTCCAGGCGTGCAGTCCGCCAATCAGGTCTCGAACGGAATGCATTGGGAATCGATTGCGAACATGCTGAACGGCGATCTGCGAGTCATTTCCCCGCCGGCAGAGCAGGACGATGGGCAGCTCCTTGTCCTCCAGCTGCTTGGTGAAGCGTTTTAAGTAGCCATCGTCCAGGATCTCGACCAGCGGCACATTTACAGACTCGGGCAGCTGGCAAATCTCGAACTCGGCCGTTGGCCTTACATCGATTAACAAATGGGGTTGTGCCTGGACCTTCTCGCGGTACTCCTCCACCGAAAGGCGATCATCTGCCGCCAGCAGTTGCAAGGGACTATCCTTATCGGTGGCATGCATCCCACAGAACATCTCGTAGTCGACTAGCTCCGTGATTAGCGGCTGGGCAGAGCACACATGGCAGTTGGGTCGCTTGCTGCGGATGCGAATGTTCCGGAACAATCCGCTGCTGCCATCGAAGATGAGCAGCCGACCGGCGAGGACATCGCCCAGTCCCACAATCAGCTTGATGGCCTCCAGCGCCTGCATCGCTCCAATTGTGCCAGTGACAGCGCCCAGGACTCCACCGTCGCCACAGTTTGTGACCGCTTCCGGCGGCGGAGGCACTGGGTAGATGCACCTGTAACACGGCCCATTTCCATGGCTGTAAACGGTGAGCTGACCATCCATCTTCAGGGCGCTCCCGGAGACGAGTGGCTTCCGCAGCATCACGCAGGCATCGCTAAGTAGATAACGCGTGGGCACGTTGTCGCTGCAGTCCAGGACCACGTCGTAGCCACGGATGATCTGCAGGGCGTTCTGGCTGTACAGCAGCCTCGAATGGCAGCGGATCTCGCAGTGGGGATTCAGCTCCAGCAGGGCAATCCTCGCCGATTCCGCCTTGGACATGCCGCACCGAGCCTCGGAGTGCAGAATCTGGCGGTGGAAGTTGCTGCGCTCCACATCGTCGTAGTCGATGAGTCCCAAGCGGCCGCATCCAGCTGCCACAAGGTATTGCGCCGCCGGACAGCCCAATCCGCCAAGGCCCACAATCAGCACGGAGCTGTTTTTTAGCCTTAGCTGTCCCTGGACCCCGAAGTCCGGCAATATGAGTTGGCGGCTGTACCGGGCTATGTCGTCGTTGGTCAATTTGGTGTGGACTCCCGATTCTCCCTGCGGTTCCACACCATCATCCGCAACCGGATCCGCTGCACTGGCGGCGCTGGAAACCGCGGCCTCCAGGTCCCGCAGACATTGCTCCTTCCTGTTGAGCGCTGCCCGCAGTTCGGAGATCTCCCGCTTCAGCTTGGTCCGTTCGGAATCTGCCTCGGATTCGATCATTGGGAAGCTGGTAGTCAGTAGACTATGAGATTTAAAACGGCTTCTGTGTGAAGTGAAATTTCAAGCCTATTCGCCAAAATTGTGTTAAAATAATAACACCAATGGATTGTTGTTAATGGGCCGGTCATCGGCCGCCGATGATTCCCAACGAAGTGTTATCGATATAAGCGAATGAAGTTCATTCCGTGAACTGGATCTGGAACTGGATTTTGAATGCGTTGTTGATGATCTGCCCAAACTATGGAAATGTAATTTCTAAAATATTACATATTTGATAACAATAAATATGTGTTGGGAAATAAAATAAAACAATTTCTTCTTTCATATTCAGTTAAAATTTCAATTTCAATTCAAACCGAGAGTAATATTAATTGATTAAATAAATAAAACAAATAGCCGCGCATATTGGTTCCTTTTTTAGAGGAAAGGATCCTTTTTTTGATTTAAATATATTGGGAATATTGGCCAGACATAAATATTCGTTGTTAAGACGTGTGGTTTGACTTCGAAAAATTAATTTTTTAAAGATCGGAGAGCATTATTCTTTAATGTATAGATCGATCAAAGCTTGGAAGAAATTTTGGAGTATATTTCTCTTACATTCAACAACATAACATTGGAAGTGCCAGAAGTCATTGGGGTCGTATAGTTTATTAAAATGGCAAATTGTCTAAAAAATTAAAATTTTCTGTAAAACTCTCATCTGATTCTAATTCTTTGGAAAAGCAGCAAAAACCTCGAGAAATTTTGTTTTACACTTTTACACTGTTCTTACTTTAAGAACGAAACGTACTTAAATATATATTTATTTTTAGTAAAAAAATAATTTTGTTTGAATGCTCCTGTAAGCATTCTGCCATGGAAGGAAATAATAAGGCCATGGCCCAGGGGCCAAGGGGCTTGATTCTGGTATTATTTTGTGTTTGGGGGTACGAGGTTCAATCCCCGCTCACAATACAACTTATTTTTTTTTTGTAATTAGTAAATTAACAACTTAACTTTTTTAGTACATTTTTGTTCTTAAAGTTATAAGGGAAATGTTAATTGAAATACATTTGAAAAACTTTTTACTTACTTTGACTTATTCGGGTTTTGAACCGGGGTCCTCTCACATCAGAGTCAGACGCCTTACCAACTGGGCAATCGCACCGTGTTACGCGCGCGTGCATAAGTTCAACTTAAATCTAAATTTACTGGTCTTAAATCAATACCCTTTGGTTTTAATATAAGAATGTGGTCTTAGTGCCGTTTTCTGAATTATTATTATTTATTAGTATTACGTAATCGAATAAATAAGTTCGGATTGACACTTGACTGAAAAGCGTTCCCTTATCAAAAACTAGTTATGGTAATGCAATTTCGAATCCGAACGTGATAAGATAATGAGCTGTCCATCGATCCAGGGTGTATCCATCAAACAATATAGAAAGCAGATGCAAACAGAATAAAGCAAATCCAATTAGTACGTAATACGCCTAAAAAGATCGACGTCTCCGCGTTGCGTGTTAAAAAATTTAGAAAAATTAGACATCTTGTTGTCGCCTATTAAATCCGTATATATACTTATAAAAAAATACAATACTACATATAACTGGCTACACATAACTATAATTAATTGTGCTGCTGGATTCAAGTCAGCAAGATCATAGGCAGCAAGAGTAACACGTATATAAATTGAGCACCGCACGCTTGCTACTTTTCAAACGATCGCAAAATGTGTAGTGTTGTGTTCGATGCGGAAGTGGTTGCTCCACCTAGACACCTGGACGCGGCCTTTTTCGAGGAAGTGCTGGAAACGGCTTTGAGAACCGCTAGAGTCCAACTGCTGTCCGTACACATTCGAATGGGCAGCAGCACGGGGGAAAACTACTGCAGCCAGATTTAGCGAGCGAAAGTAACGTTCAAACGTCCTGATCATCCGGAGCAGCACATCCTTTTTATTGTGAAGAGCATTCCTCGCCTGGATTCTGTGGAGTTTATCAATGATCTGCAAGTGTACCTGAAGGAGAAGATCACGTACTACGAAGTTCTTCCCCGACTGGAGCTAATGATGCAGTGCAATCGACGCTTCGGACCAAAGTAAGTGATATTTAGGAAATGAAAAGGAATATTTTAGGTGCACTTATAAAATCGTTACCCCAAAACGACCTATAGGTCTTTATAAAAACAAGGAAATTGACATAAAAAGGTTTTAAGAGTAATCATAAAATGAAAAGGAATATTTCAGGTGCACTTAAAAAATCGTTACCCCAAAACACGTTATAAAAACACGGAATTCGACATAAAAAGGTTTCAAGGGTAACCATATATGTGCATTCGTGTGTTTCAAAATGTTTATATAATTACATTTTTTTTGGTTTTATTTATTTATGCAAGATTTTGGTGTCCAAAAAATATACTCAAAAAATAAAAAAATTTATTTAGGCCTTGTGCAATTTAAAATGTTCTTTAAAATTACTCATACGCCACATACACCAGCCTTGTGAAACAGTACGTATGAGCGAGTACAGTGCGTATGCGTGATGTACTTTAGAGCGTTTGAGGGTGGGTCGTTATAAATTTCCATAAAATTGTGGTTCTATAATTAAACATTGAATTCTAATTGCTTTTTCGCAGGCTTTACCAGTGCATAAAAAAACCGGAGAACACCCTTGTCTTCGAAGATCTGGGCCAGCTGGGATTTGAGATGGCTTCCCGTGAGTTGGGCTTGGATGAGGATCACTGCCAACTGGTCATGGAGCGCTTGGCCGAGTTTCATGCCACTTCAATGGCCCTTTCAGTGCTGGTGAGTTGACTCCAACGGAGATCTTTGAGATCTTAATCTTACTACTTCGGATTACACAGGATCCCCACATCTTCGATACCTATACCGACGGCATGCTATCGCCTAAAGGTCTTGGAAAGGACGGACTGCTGATGAAGTTCTTCTCGGGCAATGGCAGCGAACTGCACTCACTGGTGAGCTCGTGGCCTGGATTCGAGAGAATCGCCGGGAAGATTGGCAAGTATATGGAGAACCAGCGGGCTAATTTGGAACGCAGTCAGGCTCCGCTGGAGAAGGAGATTAAGGTCCTCAACCACGGAGATTTGTGGGTCAACAATATGCTGTTTAAGTACGACACAGCGCGACGTCCGCAGGATCTCATCCTCATCGACTTCCAGCTGAGCGTGTGGGGCAGTCCGGGCATCGACCTCAACTACTTCTTCTATACCAGCCTCACCCTGGACGTTCTGCGTCACAAGCGACCCCAACTGCTGCGCACATACCACGCTCGGCTGGCGAAGACGCTGCTCGATCTCGACTTGGGCGTCCCTGTGCCCAGCTACGAGCAGATCCTGGAGGAGGTTCACCGCCGCGAGGCCTACGGCTTCTTCGCCAGCTACGGCATCTTCCCCACTGTCAGCCAGGACAAGGCCCAGACAGCGGACAACAATCTGGAAAGCTTCAAGGACGCCGACTTTGCCAAGCAAAAGTTGCGTCAGATGTTCGAGTCCCGCCGACTGGCGGAGACACTTCGCTACTCGCTACCGCACTTTGAACGCGCTGGCGTCTTGGATTGAATTAGTTTTTTAGAGGTTGTCCATACATTACGTAATCATCCAAGGGGTAAGGGGTTACATCCAAATAATTACTCCCACAAAACAAAAAATTAAAAAAGTGGGGGGAGTGATAAAAAAAACTATGATTACGTAATATATGGATAGCTCATTACCCCGTTTACACGCATGCTATTTCCATTATAATATTATTTGCCATTAATCAAGGTATTTAGCACTTGTAAAGTTCCCATTTTAAGAACTTTAATTGCCCAAAAGCGTCTCCATAACGTAAATAAGCATACACTCATAAAAATTAATTTCTAAATTTTGGAAATCTCGCCATTGAATCGGCCTACCTTTGAAAATAGAAAAAAAATTTCTTGTTATTAGAAAATTGGCCTTTGAATACAGAAAACCTTTCTTGATGGAAAAAATTCAAGAAAGAATTTTTCTTAAAAATAGAAAAATTAAAATCTCATATGTCTGTTTTGCCGTCGCAGCCAAAACATTTTTGTACGTATTTTAGGACAAAATCACCTTTGAATATATGAATGAAATGACCCTAGAATATAGGAAAGTAGCCATTGACTTCCTTCGGCTGCCGAATGTTAACGACAAGAAAAACGAAGTGGGACGAAGGGCCTACTCGGCCCGACTACTATCCGGCTACCGACTTCTCTGATCCCCCGAGCGTCAGTTGTGAAAAAAATTCGTGAGTGATGGACGTGATTTTCAAGCGGATAAGAGGTGAAGCCTTTTTCCGAATATTCAAAGGTATGTAAATATGTATATAATTTTTTGTATAGCGGGCGTACAATTGTATGTATGTAATTAAAGGATACATTTCAAATCTCTTTAACAAGCGTATACCAATTTAGGTGAATTGTTTTTTAGCTAAGAGCTACGTACATACATACATTTGTACATAAATTTGTGGGTGTACAGTTCTATAATAACTTTATCTTATTACTCGCATTTTATTTATTTTTCAGAGTGAAAATACCTGCAGTTGCAACAGCCAAATAATTTGTTTGTCGAAGCTGTAATTTTGTTTTAAAACCTTCTAAGGTAAGAAAAATATGTTGTATTTGTTTGACATACTTATGTATGCATGTAAATATCTATGCATGTACGCGGCTCACCCGATCTGAAACCCGATTTTCAACCCTTTCATATTCTGCTCCTCTCTCTCGCTCGCTTGACCTACGCGTCGCGACGTTTCTCTCTACTCCTTCTTAAAATTGTCATGATCTGACCTGCTTACATTCGGTCTCCCTTCGCGCAAAGGACTGTATGTAAATATATATGTATGTATGTGGCTCTTTCTGAAATTAGATTTTCAACCCTTCCTTCTTCATTTTCTACCTGTCTTGCTCCTCTCTCGGTCGTCTGACCAACGTGTTTGTATTTTGGCTATTATTAACATTACATTATTATCTATTATCTAAAAACATCTATCTATTCTTATCTAAAAACAAATCATTGATATCCCAATAACTCTTTTTTTCCAGATGAGGAAAGCCGAAGAAAATAATTTTTTATGCCTGCAACTACATATTTGGTTATAATAATGTTTTCTTAAGTCAAAAATGTGTTATTTAAAATTGTTTAAATGTTCAGTGTTAAATGTTTTAAATTTAAATAAATAAAATATGCAAAAGAAAAAACCAAGTTACATTTTATTTTTAGGGTTTCAGTGTTAATATAAAACTTCCCTTCAAGAAATATTATTTCTTAAATCAAGAAATAAAATTTCTTGAAAGGAAATTTAAACAAGAAAGAATTTTTCTTGTTCAAAAGGTGCCTTTCTAAAAAACCCTTTCTTGTTTTAAGAAATTTAATTTCTTGAAACAAGAAACAAACCACCTTTGAAACAAGAATCGCCTTTCTTGTTTTAAGAAATATTTTTTCTTGTTTTTATGGTGGCTTTCTAAAAAACCCTTTCTTGTTTTAAGAAATTTAATTTCTTAAAACAAGAAATATTTTTTCTGGTTTTAATGGTGCCTTTCAAAAAAACCATTTCTTGAAACAAAGGTGAGGTCGCCTTTGGCAAAAATTCAAGAAAGAATTTTCTAGATTTTAAGGAAATTCTTCGATTTTTTTTTATGAGTGTATATTTGTTAAGCAAGAACGTTTCTTTTGGTTAATTTGTTCAATGATTTTAAGATTGTTTTTAGCTGAAAAACTACTAAGTCATGAAAGTTGGTAAATAAATCAAGATGTTAAAAGTTTATATACCCTTGCAGTTAAAATAAAACTTATAGCCTAATGCTCGCTCGATAGGTAGTGTTCCAGGGGTATATATTATTGCCTATTTAAGATTTTTATTTTTAGTCAAAAATTAAAACGCCTACTTCCTTGAAAATTTCATTGTTTTTTCGATTATCTTTTCCTTTTTCTCTTAAATAAGTTGCAAAATAGTTCTGCAACACGTAAGGCATGCATTGATTGATTAAGATAGTTAGTTACTGTTATTTTTTAAATTACATATTATATAGCTAAAAAACTTAAAGTTCTCTAATTTGAGTAGGCAACAGGGATGCCATGACTTTTTAATTAAATACGTAGAGGTTTTTGAATGGCTGAATTACCCAACAATCAAATTTGCATATAACAGTTGATAAACAGCTGACCGAAATATAACGGTTTACCAATTCAACAGTTCCGGAGAATACCCTAAATGCCGTATCGTTATCGATAGGAGCGCGCGGTATTATTACTGTTGTAGTTGGATGTTTGGATTGTTCGCTCGATCAGCTTGGTCACACTACTCTAGCTAGGAAAAAAAAGGGGAAAATAAAAACTAAACTCGGACGAAGCAACAACAAGCAGAAGTTTCGCCAGCGGAGTGAAGTGAACAGATTGTATTGGAAAATCGCACCACGACCTTAGATCGGCATTCAAAATGTTCGCCAGCAAATTGTTGATATGCTCGGCCCTGCTAATGCTAAGTGGCGCAGGTGAGTGGGCAAATGGTGGAAAACTACGGAAACCCTTTTTTTGCCAGCGAAAAAAAACTGCGTCGCGCTGGAGGCCTTTGTTCAATGTGCTTATTCATCGCAAATTATTTATATTTGTCGCTTACCCGCCGCCCCCCATTCGCCGTCTCGCTCGCGCTCACGTAACCAGCTGGGCCCGTCTGATTGTAGTGTTTTATCTGCGAAAAAAGTGGAAAAAAAGGCTGGGGAGTACGAGCGAAAAAGAGTTTTGGGTTTCGCGAACAAAGAGGAGCAATGATCCATTCGCCAGCACTGCAGTTATTCAGTTCTTTTCGGGTTTTCTAGATATGTAACCTCCGGGCTCTATCAAAATGGTGGCCCTTACCGTTGTTGCAGCCCCCAGTTCCCCTCCCCTTCCCTCTTCTGGCATCGTCTACCTACTGCATCCCGAGAATCGGTGGAATAGCTAGATAATGCAGGCATATTCTATTTATCACCGCTCTGCCTTTTCCCTTCGTCAGCCCAGTAATTACACTTGATTCTCGGCAGCTTCTAAATTGTTATTTATTTGCCCAACTCAGTCGTTCTCATTGTTCTCTGCTTATCGCCCTCGTCCCCGCCGATGGGGGCGTCTTTTGTGGACGGTAATTCCCCCTGGTGCTGTGGCACTACTCGCACTACTCCGCTTCTGGTGGATGTCGTTTGCTGTCTCCGATTTCTTGCGGTCTGCGACTGCCTGCTATTTTTCCACTTCTAATCTCCATATGCCGGGGTATTTGCATTTGATTTCACAATTACATATATACTTACTTATGTACTTCCCGCATGTGGCACACATTAGTTTGATAGACCCGCTGATAGGACTAGAAGAATCGGAAAGTTTTAAGAACTCCACTATAATATTGTGCAAAATAATTAAAAGAAAAATCAGATTATCTATCGACCATTTAGAACTCATCACTGCAAACCTATGATTCATTAACCGATTATTCTAACCACTAAATTTATACATAACCATATTTATAGAAAAATAACATATATTAAATGTATCTTAAAATATCGAAAAAAGTAGAGAATCCATTTTTTACGAACTTCGTTTATAACCATTCTTCCTGCATGGTTGTGGGGCATAAATCTTATTACCACATGCGATTTATTTTCCCAGCATTTTCCCCCCTTCGCCGGAAAATTGTATTACATGTCTAAGGCGCGACACGCCCCTTGTCTGCTGTCTGCCTTTCCCCAGTCTGTTCGCTCGCTTAACTTGCATTTAAAGGTCATCTCTCTGGACTGCATTACCGAACGGCATTGAACTAGAACGGGGGGCCGTGGGTGAATCCGTGACCGCACATTGAATGCTGAGTTGAAAGCAGATTCCATGTGGAAAAACAATAGGTGGTACAAGTAAAAAGCGACATTAATTTGTGTATGAATCACTAAAACCGATCGGGTAGCAACAACACGTTGGACTTTGATTTGTTTTTGAAATGCGAGGAGCAAAAACGGGGCATTAAAGCTAGATAAAACTTAGCTTTGTGAACGGATACATTCTTTTGCTCCGTAGGCTTTATCATCATCGAACAACCATTACATTCATTACTTTACATTTTCCTCTTGACTCGTATAATCTCATTAATATATGCATATCTGCAAGTAGTGACAACTTGTGCGGAGCACCGCACATTTAACTTGCTACCGCCCTTATCACTCTGTAAAAACACAAATAAATTATTCATCGAGTGCAAAATGAGTCACTCTTGTGCCCACTGGAGAAAGGTTTTGTTAAAAAAAAGAACAATGGAAATGCAATCATATCCAAGCTCTATATTATCACTATTATTGGGACTACAATATAAAACTAGCTAGTTGAAGATCCTTTAATTTCAGCATAATTGGCCAATAAAAGTTACCTGGAAGACTAAACAGATTTGAAGTTCTATAATTCTTAACCCTATTCTCCTTTCAGTGCTCTCTCAATCATCGATTAGCTTGAAGGATGCAAAGTTCAAGACTCCCGATGCGTCTTCGGAGCACCCAGCCCCACTGACCAGCACCACAACCACATCAACCTCAACGACTTCGACAACTACAGAGAAGCCAACCACCAGCAGTTCAACATCGACGATCGCCCCGCCGACATCCCCCACAACCTCCACTGAGCCACCAAAGACGACGACCACACCAGCACCAGTGCCAAGCACGACCCCGGCCCCACAACCATTCCCGTCGCCAGCCGTGGGCACTTGGAATGCCTCCTGCATTATGCTCCAAATGGCAGCCCAACTTAACTTCACCTACGAGACTAAGGGTAAGGAAATGATAGATTGCAAAAAGGATTCTATTAAAAATGGGTATCTTTGTGCTGACATCTGACTAACGACCATTGCTTTTGTTTTCTTCAGATGGAAACCTTACTCACGGTCTGTACAACATCCCTAGCAACGCCACGGTTGAAGACAAAGATTGCGATAAGCAGACCGTTCAGACTATTCATCTAATTTGGGGACCCGATACTTCCAAACAATCGTTCCTGATGTTTTTCGACAACAAGAACGACAGCACTGTGCTCTCTTCCATTCAAATCCACCTGACCCTGCTGCCTGAGGAATTCCCCAACGCCAAGGGTATTTAACTTTACATTATACTTTTCTATAAAGATTATTTTACTCATCTGGATGTTTGCAGAAAATCAAACCCTTCAGCTGATTCACAGGAGCGATGGAGAGTTCAAGACGCCCGAAAAGATGTCCTACCATTGCACACGAGCTCAGAAGTTGAACCTGACCGAGACCATTGATGCTAAGCAGTTGATAGGATGGATCACCGTCAGCAATGTCCAGGTGGAGGCTTTCCGGTCGGCCAACGCCACTGGATTCTCCACTGTTCACGACTGCGACAGCTCTGAGACGTCGGACGTAGTACCCATTGCCGTTGGAATTGCCCTGGCCGCACTAATTCTGGTCGTTCTAATCTCTTATCTGTGTGCCAGGCGTCGCTCCACCTCCCGCGGCTACATGAGCTTCTAAGAGAAGTCGATCGGTTTCTTTGGGGCAGGTTAGGAATGGAATTGAAGGAGAATGGAAAGCAAATCGTTAGAGAGAAAATTAAGATTGATTTTGATAATTGGAAGCTGTCTGTGAATATGAGAAACGATCCATTTTGTTTTGTACCTTTTGATTTGTAGGAGTTGAAGTGGTTTGTTTTGTCTAGGAATGAGAGAAGGAGGGAAATAGAAAATCAGCAAGCTAGTGATGGGTGAAGAATATCAAAAAAGTTGATCTGTAAAGCTGTTTATGTGTCTGTAACTGTCGAAACTTTGTATTGTGAAATGAAATTAGTTATCACACATTTTTTCTGTCGATTTGACCCAATTTCCTTAAAGAAAACAGAACAATGAACAAAAATTTTAAACTTGCAATACAAGCACATTTTACTCCACAAACCAATCACTTAAAATTAACTAGCGTGTCATTTAAATAAGGTGAAATCGGGCAAGGACAAAGTTATGATGATGGTTACGTACTATACGCCGTTCGACGATACCAAGGCGACAATTTTCTATCCGAACAGTCGAAATTTTAAATTTGAAATCTTATTATATCAGAACCTAAAAATGTATGTATTATTGGCCTTGAGAGCGTAATAAAGATAATATTTAAAAACCAAACTAGATATGTTATTATTGTTTTGAGGTGGTAGATGTTTTTATATTTTTTTATATCTGATCATTTTATATTTCATTTATAAACAAATCTCCATTATATGAATAAAATCGATGAATTTTTTCGCTAAAATGTTCAGAACTTTCACTCGGTTTAACAATAAGTTCAGGAAATGTATTTAAATGGGCAATAGGCTATCGGCATTCATTTCCGCATCATCATCTGAATCGTCTCTGCTTTGCTGTGCCCTGCCAGTCCGGGGACGTTCAGCGGGTGGACCCAAAGGATCAAACTGCTGGACTGTAAGTACAAACATTTTAGATCACAGAGGATTCCTAAGTTGTTGACAAAACTTTACCGGAATACGTGGCGGGACTCTGCGAATAGGTCATGCTCTTGGAGAGGTCGCTGTTTTCCTGCAAACGCTCCTCATTGGACTGCCTGATAGCTACAGGATAAGATGCAAAATATATGAGCTTAAATATCCACAGAAATAATAAATTTGTGTACATTTCAGGTCAATCAACCTACTTCGCAATCGACTGCTAGACGAGGCCGCTGATGAGAGGCGCTGCTGCTGGTATCGCTGCTCGTTCTGACGTTCCTGCTGCTGCTTCTGCAAGCGCGCATATTCCGCTGCATACCGCTCGTGCAAATCTGCCAGGCCCAGCGACTTGGTCACCTGCATCAGTGCCCGTACGCAGGTGAGGTTGTCCGGAAAACGGACGTGGATCTTCTGGAACATACCCAAATACTGCTTGGGCGGCAGGTACGAGTTGCGAAAGCAGCTGGCAATGCGCAGCATTAGGTTGGGATCATTGGGATCGGCTAAAACCGCTCGTTCGTAGTAATACAGCGCCTTCTCCGTGGCCTGGAGCTTGATGTAGTAGGAGCCAATGCTGCTGGCGATGTTGATGTCGCTCATGTTGATGCGGTACGCCTCGTGGTAGTACTGATTGGCCTCCTGATGGTCCTGAATCTGCTCGTAGAGCGAGCCCACCTTCTCGAACAGGCGCGAATCGATGTCGGAGGCGGAGATGCCCAGCACTTGGAGATAGGCCTGCAGAGCCACCCCTGGCGTGGAGCTACCTTGGAATCCGCTTCCTAACCGGCGTTCCTGCAACTTGGCCAACTGGTAGAAGACATGGCTGTGCTGCACAGAATGGGGCATCATCAGCTGGGCTTTTAGCAGCTCGAATCGCTCCTCGGCCAGCTCGAAGTCCTGCTGGGCCAAGGCCACCAGGCCGAGATTGTAGTTGGCCTCAAAGTTCGTCGGCTGCAGTTGCAGAGCTCGCTCCAAACGATCGCGAGCTGACGTGAAGTTCTGCTTCCGCAAGTCCACAATGCTGGCATTGATCAGAGCTAGCGCATTGTTCTCCAGCGCTCCGATTTCCTGAAGCTGGTTAAGACACTGTGTGGCCATCTCCAGGTTGCCTAGCTGTAAGTTAATTTTATTAATTATTATTTATTAAATTTATTAAAGGTTCTTTCGTTGTTTCAATAAATTATTGATCAAGGTTATCAGACGGCTCCCTAAGTATGAATGCATTTGTTTTATTTGAATGAATTAATTTGAACTTTCATTTTAATAGAATTGAAAAATGTATATTTTGAGTATGTTATAAGTATACTAAGTATGGGGTTTAAAAAGAGTGTATCTTTTAAAAAACTTTAACAATGAATTCAGCATTTTTCGAACTTTGAGGTCCTTGTGCTAAGAATGCTTGCGTCGGGGAAGTTTTTGGAAAACGCAGTTTAACTTGGAAATTTGTAACGAACTCAAAAATATAGCATCCATCGAGGTAAATTTTAGATGTTGCATAGTGTAATTTGTATTACTTTCACTTCAGAAGTAAATTTAGCTTTGATTCCCTAATAATAATTAAGTACCACTTACACTTATATAGATGAAACTTAAGTTGGTCAGAGCACTGGCCGTCATTGATCCCTGACTCTTTCGATCGTACATTTGTAGCGTTTCAATGGCCTGGTTTACGTCATTTTGTCGAAGGTATACTAGGGCCTTGTTGAGTTCCAGTTCGTTTGCCAGCCATGCCAGATTAGAGGTCTTGATGATTTCAATACACCAATTGTATCCTGTAATTGTTAAGGTATTAATAGCAAAACCATATCCAACTTATTTTACTACTTCGTATGAGTATAAGCAAACAATCAATATAGATAGATCATTGTAATTAGTCCCATTATTACTCACCATCATTATAGTTCTCTTCGATTAGGGGCGAGATCAGATCTACAATCATGGTAATGGATCGTTTCTCAGCATTTCGTCGTTGATTGGTGTACGTGGCAAGCTCGTCTTTCTTGAGGGCTTCGAGAACATAACGCTGTTTTGCCTTGGCCGAAAACTTCACGGACTCCTGGACCTTTTCGTAGGTACCGCCACCCTCTGCATCGATAACGGCCACATCCGCGCCTCCGTTTTCTTCGTGGTCTGAGGACTTGTGCAAATCCGGATCCCCAGCCTGACCGGCCTGCTGCTGCAGCTTGATAATATTGCTCTCACTTCCCAGATCGGTTTCCGTTTCCCCCGCCTGGACATCGCAGAGACTTCGAAAGGCCGACTTAATCTTCTCCACGTCGCCCATGGCGTAGTAGCAGAGCAGCAGGTGGATGCCACTCTTGATGTCCGCCCGCTCCGACATGATGAACTCAAAGCTGGAGGCAGCATCCGAATAGGAGCCCATGCGGACAAAGAGGATTCCGATGTTCTCGCGGATCTTCAGCCGCAACTGGCTCAAGTTCTTCGGCACCGAGTCGAGGGCCATGCGGTACATCTTAACCGCCTTCTGGTAGATACCCATATTGTAGTAGATGTTTCCCATATTAAGCTTTAGCTGGTTCACGTGCGGAAACATCTTGTTCTTGGTCATGATGCTGTAGGTGTTGAGGGCCTCGATGTGCAGATCATTGCGTTCGTACTGCTCCGCAAGATTAAAGAACACCTGTAATGTCACCGAAATATTTTATTGGATTTAAATGATCAGTGATCACCTTAGTCTCACTCACCGCATATGTCAAGTCAAAATTGTGGTACACATTCTCGCCCTGCTGGTCTCGAAATCGGTGCAATGTCCGATCCAATGAGAACGCTTCCTTGGCCTTATTCAACGACTCGGCCAATGCCGATTTCGCCTCCGAGTTTATATCTCCACTCGATCGAGCCGCTGTGCTTTGCCAAGCCAAAACAATGGACGATTCCAGGAGCTTTACAATCTTGCCCTCCAGATTCTTGTATTTGATCTGAGGACTATCATCAAGTAATTGCATTATTAAAAACAAGGGTATTCAAAACAAGGTTAATGTTTCTAAATCTATATCGTATGCCAACTTTGGGGTTTATGGACTTAATAGAAAGTAGTTTATTTGAAAGTAATTCAGTTCATCCAGCAAATAATAACGTCTATATATTTTATTTGGAATTATATTCTATTCAAAGGGATAAATGTGACGTCACTTGGTGGACAAAAATATAATTCTTGAAAGGAAAGATTGTAGGTTTGTAGAGTAAAATGATTTTATACGGTTAAAAAAAGGAAATAAAACTTTTGTGTTTGTCACTGCCAAAATATGACTGAAAATCTTAATTTTGTCCTAGACTAAAGTGAAATTGCGACTTAATATTTTAGTAAGGAAATTATTTAACTAATCTTTATATCGTGTTTAACTGCTTTCATTCTACATCGTACATAATATAAAATGGCTCAAAGTACAAAATACAATTTTTTATTTCACTCACTTTACTTCCTTGGCGGCGTCTACAGCGTTTGCGGACGAAAGTGTTTGCTGCTTGGCCTTCTCCAGGAAGAACTGGTCGAACCTTTGACCAGCAGACCCGCTATTGGCCGCATAGCCCACTGCCCGGACTGCTGTTGATGGCCTGGCCAGACCTGATTTATCGCCTCCTGCTGCCCGACTGCTAACCAGATTGCCCCGCTAAATTAGACGAATTAGTAAGGAAACCACATTCATATTTTCCAAGACTCACCGAAAATAGCTGCGATGTGGGAGGCCTGGGCCTTCCTGCTGCCGTTGGTGGAGGGGGAGGAACTGCCCCTGTTTCGGCACCAGCCTCCATTAATCCTTCTTTCTCGTTAGCACTGGTTTTTAATGCCATTTTAATCAGTTAGCTATTTTACAGATATTTGTTTGCGGCATAAAAGCACTTGCAAAATGTTTTCATTTAAAAGCGGACAACTTAGGGGTAGGTCTTTGTTTTGGTCATGTTTCCTTGGTAATCAAGAGTCATGGTTTCTTATTAAATTGGTATATTACCTGTGGAAAAATACCGACTGAAAATACTACTGTACGAATTTATGATTTTTATAACCGTTACTCGTAGAGTAAAGGGGTAATTGTATTCGTGCTAAAGTATGTAACAGGGAGAAGGAAGCGTTTCCGACCCTATAAAGGATATATATTCATGATCAGGGTCACTAGCCGAGTCGATATTGCCATGTCCGTCTGTCTGTCTGTGTGTGCGTATGAACGCTGAGATATCAGAAACTATAAAAGCTAGAAAATTGGGATTAGCCACACATATTCTTGGGCTTCCTACGCAACGCAAGTTTATTTCAGCCGAGCGCCACGCCCCCTCTAACGCCCACAAACGTTTATAAAATGTGTCTAGATTATAAATGTGTCCAGAAATTAATTTTGCTTTATTAGGCAACTTAAAAGTTGTGTCTTACCACTTTTTAAAAAACCCTCTAGTTTAACGGTAAAAGCTAAAGTAAATACACTTTTAAAATTTTTCTCATTCAGCACGCTGCAATGGAAAAGACTGTACGATTTTAGGGAAGCGTGCAGAATGCAAATTTTTTTAAAAGTGTATTATTTAATGAATCTTATAATAAACATTTGTCACAAAAAATGATATCATAACTTTTTTATGTTACAGGTGCGATCGTCACTACACAGAAAAAATTATCAAAAGGAAAACGGCACCTAAAACGTATAATTTTCTCTTTGTAGATTTTTAACTTGTTAAAAGGTGTTTTAATTTCATATTTATTTAAGTTATATTTGTCACAAATATTCGTGACGTTGAAGTTCCTTTCCTTTTTAAAAAATTATTTTCTTTGACATATACAGACAAAGGCAGAAATATGTTGATTACATTAGACTGATTAAGGCAGACATAATCAATCTCAACGATTGCCGCGCTGACTAAATGACTGACTGAGTCATTGAGTGTCGCCCAAGGCGTGGAAGCGAAGCAATAGGCACCTGGAAGTGGGCAACGAGAAAATCGCGCTGACACAAAGAGCGACGTTTGATTAAGCGAAACGCCTTTGGCAGTCACCAGTACACGACACCCTATCCACCTATCCACCTCATCATCCTCATTCGCTTTGTGCCGCTGCCAAATGCAATCAGATTACACTTCGTTTGCCGCTCGAGTCCCCTTTTCGTTTTTTTTTTTCTAATTCTGCTCCAGCTAAATTGTCAGTGATAACACGAGGCAAGCAAATGGAAAGGTCCAGACTCTGCAGTGGAGTGGGGAAATGTTTTGAGGAGTTCTCCACTAAATATCAAGTATACGACGGGGTCACCCAGCGCATCTTGTCTTCAAATGCCCTCAGCTAGGGCGGGACTGAGAAATGTATTCATATCTCCGCACGACCATATTATAATTTGTTCTACCTCCGGCAGTATTTCATAGTTACACAGTGGCAATCGTAAAAATGCCAGAAACAATGGCGAGGGGCTATCCCGCACATCTGCCCATATATGTATGCTTATCATTACTTTCCTCTATTTTGTCTGTAAGCATTAACAACGTAGTGGGTAACAGTGCCTCTAGGAATACAATTTAAGGATATGCCAAGCAGGACGCGATGTTTATGCTGAGAATAAAACTTAAGCACAGTTTTTTGCATTATTTAAAAGAGATTCTGGATGAAAACACCTTAGTAAATTTTCTCCATTGCCTTATTATGTATATGTTCGGTTATATTTACATTTTTTTAAAAATTAAAAAATTTAATTAAGTAAACTGAAAAAATTCAAGGTTTACTATTAACTATTTGAATTAAATATAAAAACTTAACTTAAAAATAAAAACAACTTATCTTTAATGAATTTGATAATTTCCTAAGTATTATCGTACTGAAATAAATTGTACTTATTTTTTCCTGGTGAAAGATTGCGTCATCTCATTTAATCGTGTCGCGCAGAAGCCAAGCCGACCAACTACCAATATGAGTTAAAGTTTCTGTGTAAAATTTACTTTAGAACAAATTAAAAGTTCAAGTTTTCTGCCTCGGCGAAGCCCACTGAGCGTGTGAAGTTTTACAACCGATGGCCGAAAGTTTTCCCTCCCTGTCTCTCATGTGAGCGTGGGCAGGATTGCACTCAATATTGTACTTTGCCTTGTACTTTATGCGCCACCGCACAATCATTAAAGTTGGAATGGAATCGGGACGGTTCTGTGGTCATCAATCCCTCATGTTGGCCCCCTCAGCTTCGAAAGTTTTCGATTGTTTGTCATTGTGCCCGAATTCTTCAGTCATTCTTTTTCGCCAATGGGGGTCATGTGGTAGTCCTGCGTAAAGTTGGTATTTGGCAATTACCAAGGCGGTGACCACATGGTAGAGGGATACAATAATAAATCAGGTTTAATCTAAAAGCATGTTTGTGTTTCCAGTTAATTAAAGGGAAAATAATTTGTTAATAGTAACAATTTATGAAAAACATGTTTCGAAATTCGAACTGGCCTATTGTTAATATTTCAAGCATATCGAATTAAGGTGCCCGCATATCAAGTCAAAGTTGATACCACATCTTATAAAATTGATCATCGTTTCATATCTAGTTTTTTGTGGGTGTAAAAATTTTTAAAAGGCTTTTATTTTAAAAAGAGTTTTTTTTAACAAATGACCTATGTTGGGGTTCTAAAGCTCTAAAGTCTTTAAAGTCTTCAAACTCCAGAGTCAAAATTACGTGTTGTCCTACATCCGAGTCAAAAGTTAAATAAGTATGCAAATTCTGTACAGCTATAAAAAAAATATGATTTTTTGGAGATGACCAGAAAAGTCAAAAAGTTTCTTAGCCCCAGTGCCCAAAAGTGCTTACAAGCTATCATCTAATCCGCCAGTAACATCTTCATAATCATAAATGATAAATTGTCAATTCCCCCTGGCCAAGTCGAGATTCTTGCCCCTTTACTCTCTGTTTTACTTCGATAAAAGAGCAAACAAAGTTTTCTGTTTGAATGAAGCAAAGATGTCAACCAAGATGGGAAGCGAAGGCGAGGCAATATAGAAAAATACAACAATCATTTTTTTAAACCAAATGCAAAGCTCCTAGGAGCACCATACCCCCACAGGAGAGGACACACTCCAATTCCCCTGTAAATTCAAAAGATTTACAGGCTTCTAAAACAAGGAAAACCAAAGCGCTCAATCTACACCCTTTACATCAGAGAATGAGGTACATTTTCATAATACCCTTAACCTTTTGGATAATAATTATAATTTGTTACCTTCTGTCGGTCAAACTAAATGGATTTTTATGAGAATTTTTAGCTTTTTATATTTTAAATTCAAGCTATGGGAAAAATACCCTCTGTAAGGGTGTAGCCCAGTGGGAAAAGTAAAGGGCAACCTCAATCGAATCAATCGAATGGAGGTGGTGATGACGCTCAGGCTTCTTCGTGTTCTGTTGTGGCCGATAAAATGATTTACGTACAAATTGGTTCAGGCGAAACTCGATTGAGTTGTGGAAATATTCAGCGCCCCTTTGTTAGCCGGGCTAACGCGCTAAAGACCAAAACAAGAATGGATTGAAAAAAGGCAAAGGAGTGCGGCATGAGCAGGAATACGGATAAGGGAGCCGACAGCAGCCAATGCTTCCTAAGTTGGTAAAGAGCTAAAACCGATTTGGTTTGCGGGCGCGTAGTTGAAAACTTTGCACCAAACGAAGTTCGAGGAACCCAAAACTCCAAAAAGCTTTTGTGGTTATTGCATTTTTTTCAACTACTCCCTCCTCTTAGCTTTTATTTTCTTTGTAACAATCACTGGTGCTGCCAAATATGCCGGAAATTTTTAATGATTTCCGCTTGCAATGATGGTCCGTTCGGAGCTCGGCGAATGAAAACAAATCGGCGTCAGCAAAAGTCGCATCGCCGGGCATTCATTACATTTTCTTAGATCTCCCAATTGCTGAGTCTAAAAATGTCTGGTTTACTGAAGCCAGACTCGAGGACAAAGCAATCGATATGTCATCATTAGTTGTGTGGTCCAGTCTTTCTCCAAGTGCCCATGGAACGGGAAGTCATCCGTGTCGAGCAAACAAGGTCACTGAATACAGCTATAAATGCTGTATGGATTGCATTGAAATTGAAAAAATCAGATTGGTGGTTTACGTTTACTTTTTAATATTGTATACTATGGTGGTATTTTTTGTCAACTTACTTAGTATAGATTAGATATTTGTTAAGCCTCACTCTCAATTTTAGTTGCTTTTATCGTGTGTCTGGCGCCCACATCTTTGTAGATTTTGAAAAAAGTATAAATGCAATTTTGACCATTCGTTAAAAAGTTATGAGCAAATAATGGAATTCAAGCAGTCGCTTTGCTGCATGCATATCTCCATCTCTTTTACACTTAATTTATCTGAGTAACGGGTATCTAATAGTCGAGGTACTCGACAATAGCGGTCTTTCTTGTTATATTATTATATTATTAGCTCTTTTTACGAATTTAACCTCAGTGTTTAAAGGCCAACTTTAATTCTAAAGCCGAATTTATAACTTTTAACATGAATGAAATATGCAAATTTAAAAGTCCACCTCCTGCTGGCAAAACCGGAAGTTGACTCTTAAGTTTATAAATCCAATAAAAATCACATTAGCCCTGCGGTGGAAGTTCGTGTGCAAACAGAAAACTGCCACCAAATATATTTGTTGGGATGAGGGGCAGCCAAAGAGGAGGGAAAAGTGGCCCGACACATTTAGCTAGGCCACTTGAGGCAATATCTTCGCAACTAAATTCGCCCGCCAAGAAATGCTAATGATCGCTCGAGCAGAGCTTTTAACCAAGAGTTTTAACGGAAGAACAAAGAAATGGCCAAAAAAATAGGTGGAGCTTAAATGGCAACTACCAGAAAATGCTTTTAAGTAATTTTAAAATAAAGAAAGTACTCGATTTACAAAGTCAACATTTTGGAGAGTTCTCAACTCAGTTCCCAACTGCCTTAGGCACTATAAAATTTTGAGTCTAAATCATTTCTTGAGTGCGCGGATACCTAAAAACACGACTTACTGTCAAATCGCTTACTAAAATAATTTACAAGAATTTGATTCTATATTTTAAATAGAGTTTTAGTCTTTCTTTCTACTAATCACCAGAATATTACCACATAAATAAATACATTTAATTCATTCGATTACGTGTGCATTTAAATTTATACATAAGCAATATTTCGCCGCAAACTGAGGCACTTGTCTAGGCGTGAAAGGATGCCAGTTGCTCCTGCGAATGCCAAAGACCAATTATGAGCACATTTCATGCATAAGAAAATTCAATTCCACGTTCATTTGCACATGCAAATCAAATTTATTTGCGGCAAACACACTCTGCGGCACTTATGCAGCCGGGGACATGGCCCAGCCACCAAGTGGCAGACGCCGTCACTCCGCAAGTAGTGCCGTCTGTCCTCCCAAAAGACCTCCAGTTAAAAATATCTCAAATGCTGCCGCCAACTTTGATAGCGATGTGGCTGATGGATTCTCAAAAAGGACGTGGAAGGTTCCAATATTTCTTCTTCCAGTGCATATGCATACATTTAAATAAGCTTTCTACCCATTTTAAAGAATGTTTGGTAACGAGGACTTCATCTCACTCACCTTCAAAAAATTATGAATTCAAAAAATGTATTTGGAGGCACTAAGAAGCTTACTTAAAAGCCTGTTTATAGTTTCCTGACCCTTAATTGTTTTCAATAAGTTGTTTTTCCTTTAATTGTTATCTTCAACATAATTAATGAGTTCTTAGGTCATAAAGTAGTAAATGAAATATATGTATGTTGTTTCGACTGAACAATGTACAACTCTCCCCATATTCATTTGTTTGTAGAAAGTAAATAAATATAAAAGTTGGATCCTCTTAAGCTGCTACCAATGTTTTTGACATTTGTCATTGTCCACTGTGGCTGAAAACCCTACATTAAACTCATATCACAGAAGAAAACAATGCCATTCCAAGCCGGCCAATTCCAAAGCTTGAATAATTAAAAATAAAATATTTAAGTGGAAGCATCTGTTGAAAAGGGGTTTGTCTCTCTTTATATATACCAAGTAAAATAGTTTCTACTGTCCAAACTCAAAGAAATCCACTTAGAGGCCATGAGGTTCTTGGGTAAGGAAACGTGTTTCGATCCTTGGACGACCGTCTGACTGCCTGACACTGGACATGCTGACACGCTGCACAAACAATTGAAGCGAAAGGGATGACATCAGAAAAAAAGATGGTAGATATGTGTGGATAAGCAAAAAATGCAGCCTGGCTGGGTTTGTGATAGGATGGACGTGAATAGGATGCGAAGGATATTTGATGAGATGTGCTGGATGTGTATATAGATCAAACGTCAGCGCAAGAACAAAAAAGTGTCTGTTAAATGAGCGGATCGGGAATTAAATAAATTTTAATAACAGGTATTATCCGAAATTATCCTCGAACTGGTATCAATTTTTCAGATTAAATGCAATTTTTTAATCGAATTTTATTTATATATATTGCATTATGTTAAATATAAATAAGCCGAAATACTTTTTAGTTAAATTTTTAAGGTAAAATAGTGATTAGTTATTTACAACTCCCGCAATGTTTAACCTACGAGTGCAGGTCATCTTTGGGCAAACAAAGACATTTTGTTGCCTGCTGTCGGCGCTTTTCCTCTTCACTTCAACTGCTGCCACAGTTGCTGTTTTATTTATTGTTTGCGCTTATCTGAGTCAATTACGACAAACGGAGATTGTTAATTGTTTTCCTGCTGCTGCTGCTGCTTCGCTGGTGACTGCTCAAGTCCAAGACAAACAAGTGGCATCCTGGGCATCGCTCCTGCTGCCTCCGAGTGTTCCCCCGGCTTGTGTGTTATTATTTATTCGCTTGGAGATGGCTCTTGTTTTTGCTGGACTATCTGACCGTCTAGTGTGCTCTGTCCTGCCGAATTTGGCATTTGCCCTGCTCTGTTTACCCTTGTTTGCTTTTGGCCAATAAACGGGCCATCCCAGTGCCGCCTTTGCCAGATCTCTCGGGTCGCGTTTAATGGCGCGTTTAACATTTCATTTGGTCCACATTGTCCCGTGTAGATGCTGGCTCCCCTTTTGCTGTTGACTTGTTGTCGCAAGATGCTCGCGTAAACTTTAATTGACTGTCAGTTCATCGAGGTAAAGTTTTAATTAATTTTTGCCCATGCTAGATAAAAGTGAATACGTGTGACAGCGACAAGGCCGAGACTGCCTCCTAAATGCTTGCACACTTGGATAAGGATAAGTGGAGCATGACACTTAAATGTCCTGCTAATTGTTTAGATAACATTACTTATTTGGTTTCCTAAAAGGACTCCTATGTAGACTTTTTGTGCTTAAGGTATAGAGTGTTCATTAAATTACAAATCGACCAAAACCGCTATTGACGAGGTGAAAAGCCAATGACGATTATATTTTCTGATAAAAAATAATTATAAATTTGACAAAGTAAATACACTTTCCAAAATTTAGTTTGGCTTTTTCACTGATTTTTTAAGTTAACAGGTATACTTTCTTAATTGTTTTAAAAACTTGGTCGCGTCGATCTTATATCAACTTAGGGATAACTTATTTACATTTTGAAAAACATTGTAATATTTTTAAGCCATCGTTTTAAAATTATGATGAATATTTTAATCGTTGGGAACTTATTTTTAATGGGCCATATATAATTATGTAATTTCAAAAAAAGCTCATCTTGATCATAATTTCATTTATTTACTTATGAGTTTTGGAAATCTTATGTAACATCATTGAACATAATGAAAATTTAACAAAATGTATCGAGACTTGTAGTCCGTTTTTCATAAGTAACACATTAAATGCAAAAACTAAATGTCTAAACGAGGGATTGACCTGGAACCTGTAAATTTATCCATGAATGACAGTTTAACTTATTTCAAATTAAATTTACCTATTTTCCATTTAGCCAGGGAATTTGGATTTTTAGAAACCGGTTCTTGAATTGTTTCAGTCGCTTTACGCAGATTATTTTGCCAATCTTGCCTGTCCTCCGAGTTCAGACTTGTCAAGGAACCTGTTAATATAATCCATTAAAAATTGATTATTTATTTACAAATAAGTATTTTACCTATTTTCAATTTATTCACGGTCTTGGTAATTTTATCGTTTTTGCTTGGCTTACTCTCCACTTCAGATGCTTTTTGTTGTGGATGCTCAGCAGCAACCACTGGTTGCTCTGCAACCTTTTGAGTGCTCTTCAGAGGGCTCTTCTGGCGATCCTTCGCATCTTTTAAGCTCGGCTCAAGCCCGGTGGTTTCCTTTTCGGAGGTCTTTTTATACTGCCATCGCACACTGTGGTTGCTTTGCGGCTTGAAGTCGATGGTGCCCATCGTGGAATGATCCGTTTCCATACCCCTGGGTGGCGCACTGGAAGATCGCGGGCGTTTCGTCTCGACCATTGCGATGTTGAGGGACATCAAGTTGGCAAGCTTTTTGGCCGTCTGCGGCTCCTTGGCCAAAAACTCCTCGGCAGTGCGATCGGTTCGCTTCTGTATGAAGTGCGCCTTAAGGGACTCATTGCTCCTGCTGAGCTGGGCAGCAGCTTTCTTCAGCTCGAGTGTCCTATTGTGCTGTGGCTTCCGGGCGGTTTCCACAAGCAGGCTCACTGGCGAGTTTTTCGACCACACCAAACTGTCGGTCACTTTTTTGGCTGCTTCGCTTGTCACTTCTTGCTCCGATGTCGATGGCCGCTGAGCTACGTGAGCATTTCTCGATTGTCGACACATGAAAATAACCACTGAAAAGCAAAATTAACTTGCTTATTTTCAGAAATTAAAATGCGTCAAAGAATTATGAAAATTGTATTTCTCTCGGTCGAAAAAGGAAAGAAATGGTTGTGCTCAAAAACTAAAAACCCCCAACACCAAAGTCCTATATTATGCACCATGTTTAACAAAATTTTTTTCATAAATATTGGAATTTAATTTTTCATGCTATAAATATAAAACTAAACCAAATTCATCATCCTTTAGCGATATTTTCTAGATAAACTTTTTGCGGTAAGGATCGACTTCGTTGATAATGGCGATTTAATTGCATAGACTTACCATTGCGCCAGCGATTTAATTGTTTTGAAATATTTGTATCAATTTTATTCAAAGCCATAATATAACTTAAAATTTTCTACGTATAATTTGTATGTTTTAAACCGGTCGAAGTGACGTTCCGAATAAAAATAAGATTTAACCGCACATTTCTTTAGAAATATATAATTACAATGTCAGAGGTGACTTGTTCAAAGCACCTTGCGCCTTGTGAATACTAAATAAAAAACAGATCCCCTTTGATACGCTTCAATGATAGGGTCCATTAATTAGGACCTCATTAACAAGGTTTCTCAATACCACCATTTTGGATCCCTGGATCTGTTTCCTACCATTCCTTAACCAACCATGGCTATCATCATCAGTCCCAGACGTGCTTTCCTTGGAGCCCGTGTTCTTCCTCACTCGGCAAACTTTCGCACGCATCCGCTCGTCCTTTTTAGAGGGAATCACTTTCAGGGGGAGTGTGGGAGGGGCTAGCCGACTTTAAGTGCTGGACCGTTCTTGTGGCTTTGATTTTGTTTACCTTGCTACATTTACCATTCAGCGTTCGTGTATCGCCCGTCGCCTAAGCGCATTAAAAGTTTTTTTTTGCCTTTCCCAACCTCACTTCCATCCTTGCTTTGTATTCTTTATTTTATGTGCACTTTATCGAAAGCACATCACGTTTTGCACCTGATTTGCTGACAATCCTTGGACATTCTAAACGGAACCCACCGAGCTTAAATTCCCCAGCCTTTCACTCGAGCTGCATACTAAATTCTGGGAAAATAATTGAGATTAATTGTTTTGAAAAGTATTTGGGTAAGGAAGTTCTTGGCCTTATAGCTATGGGTACGCTTTAATTAATACGCGTGTTCCACCGTCATTTAAAAACCCCTATTCTGATATTTTTTAGAGAAATACTTTTTGCCATAAAAATCAGAATTAAAAAATTAAGTAGATGGGATGATGGGATTTACAGAAGTCCTTTTACATTATGTTAACGTCAAAATGTCGGGAGAAAATAAAAAATTTAGATGGTTGGGATAAAACATCTGGAATCTTTTCATTGAGGCCCCCTTCTATCAAAGGAAGTTTTTTAGTATATACATTTTGAACACATTTTTAATTATTTTTAATTAGTATTAAATAACTGGGAACATGTTGACATTTAGCTGTAGTGTACTATTACAATTTTATTCACGTTGTGATGTAATCGTTGAACTTCCTCGAGGTACGAGCGACCGGGTTACTCATAATCTGCAATGAATGTTTATTAGTCGACTTGATTTCTTCGTTTACATTTTTAGCTTACATTTATGTATCCATAGCCGCCAAGTAGTTATGTATCTATGCCAGATAAGAAACAATTTGGCGATATCCTAATTCCAACGCATGGCTAAACCTGAGTAAAAAAAACTTCATTATTGGCAACACATTAGGAAAGAATCTAACATACCTGGTTCTTGAGTACTAAAATAGTTCAGTGTTATTTTAATATTTGTGATGAGACTGAGTACAAAAAATGTTCAAAAACAATGTAAATTGTCCTTTTGGTGGTTTTTGTGTCTTTAAGTCCGCGGAGTGCAAGCAAGCCATATATGAAATTATTTAAGATTCTGCAAATAAGATAATTAAAAAGAAAGCCAAAAACAGAATAAAGTAATTACATTTTAGCCATCATTGAAATTAGGATTAACACAACAATTTAATATTCACATTTCCCACAAGAAAATTTACTTCGACTAAATTTAGAAGACAAATATGTTTACTGAACGAAAGTTTTCTTTATAATGTACATTTATTGACCGAAATTCCTAGATCAGCTAAATCTACGCCTATTATGTTTAAAGATGTTATGTAGTTTGAATCAAACATTTTTCTACAAAAAGGATGCCTTGAAATTAAAATCCAGCTAAATATTTTTCTTTGCTGATCCCCAAACATCTGTAGTTTAGTTGAACATTGAATTTCGAACTCTTCGGACGGCAAACGGGCAAAAATAATCAAAATTAAATTTGTAGTTTTTCGTGCAAAGCGAGTTCCGTAAGTTGATACTGTTTTTATCAGGAAATTTAAGGCATAAGCTTCATCATTTACAAACATAGGACAAACTAAATCACCATGTGCAGCTTTCCTTGCTATCCCTGTGCCGCCTTGTGTCCCTGCGGTGGTAGTGGACCCAGTGGATTCTACGATCCCTGCTTCGGACCATACAATGGACCCTTTAACTCCTGGTGTGGGGCCAGTGGTCCAGGTTTCTGGGGAGGACGATGCTGCTAATTTTTGTCGTGGGTTGCGAAACTGCTAATCGATTTAAGCTCTAGCAGTGTCAACTATTTGCTTGCACAAAAGAACTATAGCCGTCAATCGTAAGTCCTTCATATCTTATTAAATTTTACTCTAAATATACCATTTTTAACAGATCCTTGCCCTGCAAAATAGCAAAAAGGACGTCACGAAGAGCAGAATGTTTAATAAATTGTTCCAAATATTTGTTTGCCTAATATTTATATGGGTCCAAGGCTTGTTAAGGGGAAGGTTTTCAGAGCCCTTTCCTGTGTGGGGGAATCTGGTCCAGAAGAATTAAAAACTAACTTGTTTAGTACAGAAATGCCCCGGTATCCGAGTGCGAAATGTTTCTCACAGAAACTGTCTGCGGTTTTGGGGACAAAAACGCTAGGTGGTATAGAATGTATAGTTTTGTCTGGTTTTCGGAGAAAATTTGCTTACACGGAAAAAAAAATGGAATAGTAAATTTAAATATCCTATTGAATCCAAAATCTCTTACTTGGTATTTAAACATATTAAACTGCGTAGTTTAATATTAAAATATTTAAATCCATGAAGGATTTATTTATTTGAAAAAGTTTTATATTTCTTAATATTTTCAGAATTAAAAAAAAACGTATTGAAATTAAAAAGGTTATTTAAGGATATTTAAATTTATATTTTTTATCAGTGCAGAAAAGAGATTACAATGACCAATGTCAAATGTCGATTCTCAGCGTTTTTATAGCCATTTATGGCGGTATACAGAACCAAAAAAACCTAAATAAAACACAATATTCTTCAGAATAAGTCCCCCGGTTTTTTTTGATAAGGTGAAATTGTACCGACACATGAATGAATGGATTTAATATATAAAAAACCTTTGTAGAAAAAGTAATGGCCTTACTCACTGCTGATATTTTGCATGTTATCACTCTTCCAGCAAAGAGGAGATATATTTTCGAAATTTCGAAAAACTGAATATTAAAAAGATGTTTCCGGTCTATTTTATTACGTACAACTTATGGATCAATGCCGTGAAAACATTCGATATAAAGTGTAACTAATTTGGTGGTATAGTTACCGAACCGATCGGCTCGGGACTGTTGAACGAGATGGAACACTAATTTTTGATGTTTCCTCATTTTTTTCTGCAAACGATCAGATTTTTCATCAGTGAAGTGTTAGCAGCAACGACCTCCCCAGAATCCGGGTCCACTCGGGCCACACCACGAGTTAAATGGCCCGTTGAAGGGTCCAAAGCAGGGGTCGTAGAATCCACTGGGTCCACATCCACCGCAAGGACACAGAGCGGCACAAGGATAGCAAGGATACCCGCAGCACATTTTTATCTGGTCAAATTCTAGAAGACAATAACACAAAGTTCAGTGCCAACCAACTTATATATCGGTTATATTAAACTTACGTTTTTCCGTTTAACACAAAAATAGGAAATTTTAATCGAAATATATTTTCGACCCTGAACTTTCAACAGCCCAAACCAAACGAGTATCGGAGTACAACTGAATGCTTGGTATTCATGCTGGCACGTGATCAAGGAATTAAATTCCAAGGCCAACTAATTTTTAAAGAAGAGCTTGTTTTTCCTCTCCTCACTCTAGCTCCATATTACATTTATTTTTCGTATTTCGAGCATCAAAAATTGTGGCCCGCTTAGTCCTTTCATACCTGTTACCATTATATCTTGATAGCTTTGTCTCTTTTGGTCTGCTTCACGTTCTGTATAAAATTACATGTTGCGGCTCATAAAATTGTTGATTATACATTATGATATTATTCAGTATAAAATTCATTCAAGAGACGAGATTTTATGCTGGTACTGCTGATGTCAGCAAGCAGAACTTTAGTAAAACAAGTTTTTGTGCAGAAGAAAGTCAGTTTAGTAATTGGGAAGCCACTTTTCAGTTGATGGTCACTTTACTTGCTTCTTTAATTAAATTGTATTTCCTTTTATGAGTAAGTATATTGGCAGAGTATATTTTCTGGCTACTGCCAAGTGTCATTAAAGTCTATAACGAAGTTTGAAACCGCGTGAACTTAAAATGTCGAAACAGCAACGAAAGATGGGCGGAAATTAATGCGCATGCATCCTTTTCAACACCCACAAGCCTCGTGCAGGAGACATCTGAATAAATGAAATGCTATTAGCCGCCATTTTCGGTGGTTTTTTGTTGACGATACGCATACGCCACATGTGCCAGCGACAGCGTCTTGTCAAGGGAGCCAGCTTTCGTCAGACTCCACCTACCATTTGGTCCCTTCCCTTTGTTTTCCCAAGAATTAAGTGCGAAAATGTGCAAATTAGATTTTGCGGGATCACACAACCTTTTAATTACAGCCCAAAATAAACTTCTTCACAGAACTTCGCATGACTTTGATGCCATCGCTTTTACCGAAACCTGGCTTAACTCTTCCGTTTCCGACCATGAAATCTTTGTTCATAAGTTCTCTACTTATAGAACGGATCGTTCTTCCTTTGCTGGTGGTGTCCTTATCGCGGTAAACAACAATTTCTCCTCTGAGTTGTTTCCTGTTGCTAACGAGACTGGTATTGAATTCGTTGCTGTAAAAGTTTGCATTGGCTCGACTTTTATCTTTTTGACCTGCTCATATATTCCCCCAACGTCAGATTCCTCAGTATATTTAAACCACCTATCTGCCATTCAGTTTGTGATGTCTGCCGTGGGTCAAGCTGACCAAATAATTGTGATGGGTGACTTTAACCTCCCACATATTTCCTGGATTCCCTGTGATGACTCTAATCTTTTGCTACCTAATAATTGTCATGATTTTATCGATGGGTTAACTGACTTGCCCTTAGCTCAAATCAACTCAGTTAAAAATAATCGCAATAGACTTTTGGACCTCATGTTTGTAGGTGATGCCGCTCTTGCAACAGTTTCTAGAGTCAATGCAATTTCCCTTCCTGAAGATCCTTATCACCCCACTCTATCTATATCTGTTGAGCTTTTAAACCAATCTTACAAATCGACTGCACTAGCCCCCTGTCCGATCAAATGTTTTCGGAAAACAGATTACACTGGCCTTAATATGTACCTTTCGAGGATTGACTGGTCATTTCTATTAGAAATCCAAGATATGGACTCCGCCGTCCTACAATTTTACAACTCCATTTATCCGGCCTTGGATGCTTTTGTCCCAACACTGGATATATCCCCTTCTTCCAAGCCCCCGTGGTTTTCCAAACATCTCTCGTACCTAAAAAACAAAAAATCTAGGCTTTATAAAAAATATCAAAAATCCGGCTCTCTACTCGACTTTGCCCGTTACTCCACCATCCGCTCCCAATTCCTTACTGAAAACAGTCAATCCTATAATCTATACCTATCACAGTGTAAAGATAACTTTCGCACTAATCCAAAACAATTTTTCTCCTTCGTTAACTCCAAGCGAAAATCTAATGCTTTTCCCCCGTCACTTCGCTATCTCAATAAAACAGAAAACTCTGCTCCCGAGATTTCCAACTTATTTGCATCTTTTTTCCAGTCAACTTATTCTTCTAGACCCTACAACACCATAACACCGTATCCCTATTACATTCCGCATGCTAATAACATATTTTTACCCCCTTTCACAGAGAGTGTCGTTCTGGAAGGAATGTCCTCTATTGACATTTCATACTCAGCTGGCCCTGATAAGGTGCCAAGCTGCATTTTAAAACACTGTGCCCAAAATCTGTTATATCCAATTACACTTCTTTTTAACTTATCAGTCTCTTTGACCTGCCTACCTAGGATCTGGAATGAGTCTTACATAATTCCTCTTCATAAAAAAGGTTCTCGAGTGGACATCGAAAATTACCGTGGCATTGCCAAACTATCAGCCATTCCTAAACTTCTGGAACATCTTATCACTCTTCAATTACAACATCTCTGCAGTTCCTTAATATCTCCTTCTCAGCATGGGTTTATTAGGCATCGATCAACGACGCACAGTGGCGCCTTTTGACTTTTTTTCGGTAATAAATCATAACTTTTGAACCAGTGAAGATAATTGAATTTTGTAAACGGCAAATGATAGATAATTGATCCACCTTTCAAATTATTGCTTGAGACAGGGAGTGGGCGTGGCAGAGGCGTACTTACAAATCGGCAAAGTCAGAATTTAAAAACAAATCCATTTTTTTCCGACAAAAAAAAACTTTTTTTAAAAAGTTTTTGTTTTTTTTAGTTTCTTTTTTCATGTTGTAATTTTTAAAACTTATTAAAAAAAATAAATAAAAAATTGGAATTTTTAAAAAAAAATTTTTTTTTTTTTTTTTTAAATTACGTTTTGTTTAGTTTATTTTTTTATGTTTTAATTTTTAAAAACTAAAAAAAAAAAAAAAAAAAATTAAAGTTTTTTTTATAAAATAAAAATTTTTATATTTCATGTTTTTTGAAATAATGGTCATAATTTGGTAAACTTGGTAAATCCAATAGACTTAACATTTCTGGACTATAATTACTAGATTCTAACTCTGTGACAAGGTTGTGATTCCATGACCCTGGAATACAGTTTGGATTCGCACATACTAAATTCAATGCTTAGGCAGCGTAAGTTGTTTTGAGCTGGCAAAAGTTGCTATTTTCGTTTCTGAATAACTTTTAAACGTGTTTTTTTACAGTAACATGATACATACCAAAATTTAAGGAATCTCAAGGGCTATACAGTTTGAAGTTTTAAAGGAAATCGTTAGAGCCGTTTGTGAGAAAAATAACAGAAACTAAAAAAAAGTTTTAAAAAAATGTGTTTTGTGCATATCTTTTTAAATATTACAGTTACACAAATTACATATAGAAGGCGCTTAAAGCATTTTAAAATACCTTTTAAACAAGAAAAAGCACAAGTCTGTAGCTTCACTAGTTTAGAAGTTAAGGCCTTCCGTATTTTAGCTATTTATAGCTGTTTTCCCGCTAAACTAGCGGGTTTTTCCAAAAGTGGTAGAACTAAAGTTTCTTATATCGAGCTGTTGAACATCATATCAAATTTTCATGACTTTAAAACCATGTTTTGGACAAATCTTTCACAAGGATGCGCCATATGCAATTTCTTGGACCATGACTTTTTTCCCTTTTTTGGCTCTTAAAACCGCGGACGCAGGCGGACGCAGCTACAACTTTCGTAATATCAAGAAGAAAGTCCAAATAACGTTTTACGGAAGTATAAAAAAAATAGTATTAAATAGTTTTTTTTTATTTTCCATCAAAGTTGAAAAATATGGAAAAAATGGACGTTTCGCAAATAACTCATAACTAAGAGATGCGCATGGCAAACTGCAATATGTTTTACTTTTTTTTACTCTTAACTAACACACCAATCCGTGGAAAAAAGAAGCAAAGCGATTCGATACCTAGTTTTTAAGAAAAACCCCCCGGAAGTGCGAAAAATTACCTAAAAACGGTGTGTTTTTTTTAAGTGAAAAATTGTTCAACTTTGAAAATTCATATCTTTTACAAAAATTTTTTGATTTGAAAAAGGGTTACATATTTGTAATAGTGGATCAATTACCTGTCGATTGGTATGGGTCACAACTTTCTAGGACAAAGTCGAAAAAGTGATTTATTGCACGTTTTTTGGCCCAAGGCGCCACTGTGCGACGACCAATCTCCTTGAGTTCTCTCACTTGATTAATCAAGGTTTCCTGCACCGTCTACAAACCGACGTTATATTCACTGATTTTAGCAAGGCTTTCGACTCGGTAAACCATTCACTGCTTCTGCTTAAACTTTCTTATTTGGGGTTCCCAAATAACCTTCTAAAATGGATAGAGTCGTACTTAACAAATCGCACCCAACGAGTTCTCTTTATGAATGAGCTATCTCACACTGTGGATGTCACTTCTGGTGTCCCTCAAGGTAGCCACCTTGGACCGTTACTTTTCATTCTTTTTATAAACGACCTACCTCAAGTTATTTCATACTCGTCTATTTTTATGTACGCCGATGACGTCAAAATTTGTTTCTCCTATTCCGATTGGTACCTTCATTCTCACCTTCAATTTGACCTTAACGAATTTCATAAGTGGTGTGTCAGTAATCTCCTTTTCCTAAACCATGCAAAGTGCAAGCTTATGACTTTCCACCGTTCCTCCCCACATCTTGTCTCCTACAGCCTTGGCAATCACAACCTAGACCGCATTACCACCTCAAACAACCTTGGAGTTCTTGTTGACCATAAACTATGCTTCAATAGCCATATTACTGCAACGGCAAACAAAGCCAAGGGTGTGTTAGCTTTCATAAAGCGATGGTCCAAAGAATTTGACGACCCGTACACTACCAAAACACTGTATGTAGCTTTAGTACGTCCGATTCTGGAATACTGTTCCTGTG